TTACAACCAAGACATCGCCAAAAATGACTTCAATAATTTCATCATTTCCAGAACTCTGCAATTTTAAAAGATTGGCATAAATAAGCTTTTGTCAAGATATATTCAATCAAAAGGTTCTTATAGGTAATGACTAATACAATAATGGTGTCAATTCTGGCAGGATTCTCTAAACTTAAACTAAATTTGATATCAGTCTGTCCTTTTCAGTCCGTATAGAGAATGACAGAGATACACTGCTGTCAAATTTAAGTTTAGTTATAAAGAATCAGGCCAGAATCGACACCTATGTTTTTCTAAAAAACACTCGTAAAAGTTTAAGGTTACAAACCGCCATTTATTTAAACACATTACGTACTTATTTATTAACATTAATTACGAATAAAACCGACATTTTCGACCGAAAATCGTGTGTTTTCACAGAAAATTTCCGATATCTCGAGGACGAGGCCGAATTTCAAAATTATGAAAGAGATGCACCTCGGTCTTGAACCAAGGAACATTTTAGGTCATTACACTTTTTTCGATATTGGTGACGGTTGAGGTTGTAGAGGTGTCTTAAGCCGCAAGTTTTGCGCGGTGCAAGGTGTGATATCACGCGGCGGGTGGCTCGCGTGTTGCCACGAGGACGTATGAGAGCTCAAATGACGCGGAATTCGAAGGGCTATAAGATGATGTAAAAATATTTTGGAAAAGTTGGTTACGAAAAACATTTTTTTTGTACTTGAAAAAATTTTTTTTTTTTTTTAGTATTTTTTTTTTAATAATCTATAATACCTAGGTAGATTCATTTTCAATGCCTTTTCAAGTCGTGTAGGGCACGAGATCTGTAAATTTTTTATCATTCATTACTGATAGAATTATATGAGCGTCTAATGGACGCTTCACATTGTGTTTAATACAATTATCAACCCAAAATGCATCTCGTAAAATGCTTTAGCTGTTAGCTTATACATAGATAGAATCTAAATCTGTCCCATATACATATTGTTGCACCTGTGTTGCAAAATATAGGTATAATATACTCGAATGATATCTAAGTCGTGAAAGTACTTATCTGATAATCTTTTTTATTTCAGATGCAGCAACCAATGCAACAGGCTGCCCAACAATCGATGCAACAATCGATGCAACAATCGATGCAGCAGTCGATGCAACAGTCGATACAGCAGCAGGAACAAAACATGGCGTAAGTTCCTCTTATCACATAAATTTAAGGTAAAGGTTTACCGCTCGAATATTTAGATATTACAACCGCTGGTCCAGCAAACGTAGTACCTATAACCATATTTACATAAAAAGTAAAAATCCAACAAGATCTTCCTGCGATCGTCAACATCCTTTTGATTCCAAAATATTTGCAGACATAAGATACAAATCTAATAATAATCACTTTTAGGTTGCAGCAAATGCAGCAGCAAATGATGTTGTGTCCAGTACGAGTAGTCTACGAAACGCAAATTTTAGTGCAACCGGGTAAGAACCTTGAAATAAAGGTTTTGTTAAGCATGTATTTAAAATGCAACTATGGTTCACCAATATTTTAATAACAGACGCTAATTCTTGTAACCACGTCAGAAAAGCCTTATGAAACGATAAAAACTTTTTTAGATGGAATTCCAATGATTTTATATTAAAATAATGTTTCTAATTCTTACTTGTTTTTCAGGGGACCAAATCCAACCGAACCAAACACTCTTTATAAACCCTCAAAACCCACCACCGTGGGCGCAAAACAGGCAAATGCAAAACCAAGTGATATATGTCCAGCAGATGCCAAACAACATTATATCTACAGTGCCACAGCATATAGACCAAAACCAATTGTACTTACAACACTATCAAAACTATCAGCAGGTGATACCGCAGCAAGTTTTGCAGCAAAATCAAGAACATATACAAATACCAAATGTAATACAACAAAATATGGTGCAGAACTTCCAATCGAATATTAGCAGTGGTATGTCAAACATGTCAGATAGACTTCAGCAAACATTTACACCAATGCCAAACGTTGGTCAAACAGTGCAATTGCCAACACAAACACAGCACAATGTAGCTACCAATAATGTTAATAGGAGTGAAACGAATACGAATATGCCAGTAGTTCAGCAACCGCAGCACAGTCAAAATCCAAGGCCAGAAATAAGGCCAGTTTACATGAATGTCAATCAGCCCAATCAACAACAAGTGAGGCCACCACCTCAAGTGTTAACGGTGAATCCTATTCAGAATCTCCCACAAACAAATACAAACTATCAACCAATGACACTGAACAGCATCCCACGTTCTATACAAACGCAAAGTGTTGGATCACAAATGTCACCGCCAACATTTGCGAACGTACCCCCGAGGATAAGAAAAGTAGCTCCAAACACAGTCAATAAGTTTACAAACACCAACATTGGTACAAGAGCTGTGGGGCAGACTTATAGACCGATTCAACCGCGGCCACAACAATTTCGAAACAGTGCACCAATGTATACAAATTCAATAGAAATTCAACCTCAGCCAAATAAACCAATGCAGATGACGCCAAATATAATCAACATAAATTCTCCTTTACCAAGCATGCCGAGTCTACAAGCTAACGCACCAAACTCTTCAATTACTTTCATTAGGCCAGAAGACCAAACGAACACAAGAAAGAGAAAGAGTGAATCTCCAGATGAGATCCACAAGAAAATGGCTGCTATACAAGTTAATATTACTACACCCATCAAACCTGTCACTGTCCCACAAAGAAATCTAGAAATAGCACCGAATATAAATATGATGCAAAAAGTTGAACAAAAACCAAATATAACTATAGTTCCTCAGCCAGTCATAGCTAATAACATAGAAACAAAAACAGTGGAAATCAAAGAAATAAGTAAATTAGTTGAAAACGTTCAACAAGCAATACAGATTGACAAATGCAATGCCAAAACAAATACAGAATTCAAGGATCCAGTAGTGGTTGAAAAAGATAAATTGGTAAGAAACACGGTTTATACACAGGCCCGTGGCAGAGTTCTTACAGATAAAGAAAATGGTAACGTATTAAAAGATACAAAAAATATAGTGAAAATTGAACCGGAAATTAAAATCCCCAATGAAATGAAACAAGAAAACATAGAAACACACAAAGTAGAAATGCCTGCAAAAAAAGAACCAGAGGAGATAAAAGTTAAGCCAAAAGTAGAGAATGATACAAGTATTACTCTAAAAACTCCTAATAATAAAGGCATGCTTCCTGTAGATAGATGTACTAAACAGGAAAGAGACTTTGTTCTAACTCATGTACTAGATGGAATAGTTATTCAGGAATCAAATGTAGCTTTTCCTGTAAGTATGGAAAACAAAACGTATGAAATTAATTCTAAAATTTTTCAATAATTTTACATTACCCTAATTTGTATTATTTCAGATTAGAGATCCGGCAACGCGCAGAATTACTCAGTCAGCCCAACATGTTTACAAAAATGACCTTAAAGAAGAAGCAAATGATAGTCAATCTAATATAGGAGAAGATAAGACTGTTAGGAATAATAAAGATATGCCACTGGCGGAAGAATTCAAGACTAAATTAGACTATATGACTGATGAAAACAAAGGTGCTATCCCACAAGTGAAAACTGAAGAACAGAAATCTGTAGACAACGATAGTCATAGTAATAAGGAGGAATCAGAAAACACAGGTAAGACCATTTGTTAACTATACACTCTATATTAAGTAAAACCCACAATAATTTAATGTTTTTTTCTGACTCTGTTATTTTGTTTAACAGATAATCCATTTGTAGAAGTACAACATGTCACAGTCAAGTCATGGACGGTAAGTTATAATATTCTGTCTCTTTATTTGATCACCTAACTGTTAACCTTCATAGATGGTAAACTGTGTGTGTAGGAGATTTCAATAACATTCTGCAATTAATCATTATATTCATTTCAATTACACCAGTATTATCAAAATTTAGATTAACTTCGATAGTTTGGATTTCAATCTTTACTACTTACTTATAATCTAGCAATGTTCATAATATTAATCTGAACAATATTTAAGCTAATAAGTGTCTAACAGTAACATGCCAAGCTATCTAAAATGAACACAATTTCTATAAGTAATTTTTAGCTTTTCCTAAAAGAATTATTCAATTAAGTAAATTTAGTTGATATGATATTTATGATCATGCTGCTGATTTGCCACAACGTTATATTTCTTTACTAACAAAATCCACAAATCGCAATAATTTTGTAAACACATTTCATATGTTGATTAAATACTTAAAACTTAAACACTTAAAAAACTGTTATTGATGGTGCATAACTGCATACCAAAGGTTTTAGAAGCAGATTTAGATAATCCAAAGATGGTTTTGAAGTAAATTTGTACAAATCTATTTCAGATTGAAGAGTTATCGACGCATCTCACCAAGTTCAACTGGAATGAAACAGCATCACTAATGATGGAACATGAAATAGACGGAGAATCCCTATTCCTTGTGTCCAAAACTTTACTTCTCAATATAGGCGTCAAGGAAAACCATGCTAATCTGATTTGTGCCTTTATTAACAGTTAACATTGGAATTTCTCCCGATATTAGGCCTAAGTAACGTAAAAATGTAAATTATTTGCTTTTATCAAGTTGACTTTTATGTAAAATGATAATAGAAAAGCAATCGAATTAGTTGAATTTTTTAATCGACAATCGAAGTTTTTTAATTAGATTCGATCCATTTTGATTTCGCAAAAGCTTTTGAGGCTTCCAAATCATTGTCTTGATCATGTATTTCATGCTTTTAAATCAGCGTTTTTATGGTGTAAATAATTGTATTATAATTACTTTATGTAGCGAATATTAATGATAATGACTGAAGAAAATAAATGTATATTTTTATAAATTGACTTGCAATATTTATTTTGTTATTCCCCGAGTTAAGAAACATTTAAGAAGTTCAGTCGGCACTAAAAAGATAATTTTATCGTTTAAAATAAATAATTATTCAAATTGTTATAAGTCAGTTTAATACAATAAAAACTAGTACTAGTGGAATTCCTTAGGGATGAATTATAGGTCCTAAACTACTTAAGCTTCACAAAATAACACATTTTCATTTAAATCAGGCCTATATTTAATAACAAAAGTACAACATTTGACTGTAAAAAAATATCCAAAACACAATAAACAAAAATCTAAAAAGTCAAATAAAATAAAAATTAGTATTACCAATCATAAAACAGTCTGCCTCTATAGCACAAAACTAATTTCTCTTCGTCGTTTTCCCCATAAAATTTACTACTTGGGCAAAGGGAGTTGCCAACCTACCCCTCCTCATGCGTTTCTTCATTCCAAGCTCGTGTAAAACATCATCAGATTCAGCTGCTGAAGAGTTCATATTCTTGGAAGCTGCCTCTTCTGAATAATCTTCGCTATCGTTTTTGTCTGAATCGGAAACATCTCTATATTTTCTTGCATAGTCCATTTTTGATCTGCCTCTGCTCTGTTCTCTTCTATACTTCATTTCTGGTGAGAATTTGGCATGGTCCGGTTGCTGGCACATCAGGGTATCGTAGAAGTATCTATCAGCGCGCCCTTCAGATTTGGGTTTCAACTTTGCTTCATCATCGGAACTTTCGTTTGAGGATTCCAGTTTTGGGGAGCCCGGTGCTGATTTCCTGTGAGGTCTTGGGCTGTAAACATGCGAATAAAACTTAATCAATGCAAAATATTTCCGATGCGTTTTAAGTTTCGGCTGTATTTCTTTAGCACCCACCAATCCTCATTGAGCCCGCGTGGTGGGTTATGAACCGATTTCCATCAGGAAGCTTGTGCCCCAGCAGTGGGGACATTAATGGAGACGGTGATGTAGATGATGAAACATATTTTAGATAGCAAACTAAGCAAACGCGTACAAAGAAGTTTGGCGACTCATTTCTTTGTCGCACTATCCGTAAATGGAATGCTCTGCTCGCTCACGTGTTCCCTCCCTCTTACAACCTGGGATCTTTTAAAAGAGCCGTGAAGAAGCAACATGCAGGCCGGCAAGGTGACGATGGCTGGTGTGGCAGGTAGAACTACTGTATCAGCTCTCTTCGCGTCTGAACTTCACCGTCACTTAACATCAGGTGGGGTGGAGTCATTTGTAGGACCTATCTATAAAAATAAAAAAGGGTACTAATTCAATAATTACGTTATATTATTCCAATGAATAGAAATGAAAAAAATCGTTTGCCTGTAAAGTCGATTTACTCACGATAATTGATCGTTGTCGTTTATTTACATTGTACATATTTTTTACAAGTATGAATGTGCTTTCAGCAATTGTTTTACAACTTTTAAACATATGTGATATCATTACCTTTATCGCCGCAATTATCGATGCTATAAACAATTGACACCACATTCACTTTTCACTGCTCTTCATACTTGACGAAAACATGTAAATGTATTATTTTATAGCAGTTGTCCACGCGGACGCATCGCTCACGCAAGTAGGAGAGAGACAGATGTCGAACGCTGCCGAACGCGGAGGCCGATTGTGCCTCTTTGTCGCTCGTTGCGCGCTTTCGCTTGCACTTGAAGCCTTAAATGGAACACATCAGAGCGAGGTAACGCCGCATGAGTCATGTTTTTTTCGAGCATGCAGCCGGCTCCATCGAATTATAAGACGTTGTCACGTCAAAAATAGGGGGCAAGTTGTTAGAGGAATAAGAGTGATAAGGTTTGAATATTATCGTATGAAGACGATGAATTGATATGTTACTCGCACACGTTTCTTTCTACTGTGCTTATGTATTTAATTTTACCTACCTTTTAATATCACCAGATAGCATGCTGGCCCGGGGTAGATGAGGGCACACTCCTGGTTGATTAAGTTCATCTCCACTTTGAGCCTGGAATCACAGTATAATAAAAAGAATAGTTGATGCAACATTGGTATTTAATAATATCTTTATATATACAATTCTTCTGTGAGTGTGTATGTCACTGAACTTCTCTTAAACGACTGGACCGATTTTGATGAAATTTTTTGTGTGTGTTCAAGGGGATCTGAGAATGGTTTAGATTCACAATTTTGTCCGCTGGACAACCTTTCCTGGGTCAGCTAGTATGTATATACACACATCAAAAGTGTCTAGGGATCAACATATATTTTTGCAATAACTTTTCTCCTGATTGATATTAATTAAAATTTTCTTTAAGGATTCATCAAATAAAGTGTTTTCGTTTGTCACAGTAACGATAAACCAAGTCACCTTTGCATTAATAAAGAAATTTGCCATTTTCCTAATAAAGGGATTTTTGACATTTGAACCACTAACACAAAAGTTCGAAAAAAAGACTGAAATAACAGTTTTCTCTAAAATTTTATTGGGTAACTTAAACAATTAATAATCCGTATTTCTACCGCGAACACTAACAACACAAGAACATCGGTTTGGCATACTCAAAATGAGTTCATCCAAATCACGCTGTGGAATGGCCGCCCATGTTCGTTGCAACAACAAAAAAAGGTCTTCTTGCGACTGGATACCCTCCATATTCGGCAGAGCTCTTCTCTGTAGCATATCCCATGCATGCTCAATCGGGTTCAAGTCTGGCGACTGAGCAGGCCAGGGCAGGACATTGATGTTAGCTGCGGCGAGAGTCTGTCTTACAACTCTTGCGGTGTGCGGTCGTGCATTATCATGCATTAACTGAAATAAGGGACCGATTTGCACTTGTAGAGGAACGATGACGTCTGATACAACCGTCTCAGCATAAATTTGAGCGTTGAGGTTGCCTCTGATCCAAATCAACTCAGTTCTTCCGCCGATCCAAATACCCGCCCATACCATGATGGTTCCACCACTATAAGGATGGACTTCCTGGCAGGATTTTAATCGCTGTTGGCGTCCAGGGGTTCTCCAGTGTCGTATACGTCTTGTATCCGGTCTCATACCAAAACGAGACTCATCAGAAAAGCACACGAAACGCCATTGTTCTTCTGCCCAATTTCTGTGTTCAAGAGCCCATTGATATCGAATCCTACGATTGTGCATTGCTATAGGTGGTACCCGTAGCGGTCTTCGGGAATGAAGGTTCACTTCATGCAAGCGGTTTCTGACTGTTTGGTCGCTAATTAAGTTCCCTGAAGAGTGATGAAGCCTCACGGCTAACATCATGGCGGTTATTGTTGGAGCTCTTCGAGTTAAGATTTGAATGTATCGGTCTTGTCTCCGTGTGGTGCAGCGATACCGTCCTCCATGGCGCTCAGCCACGGTACCAGTGCTTCGGTATCGTGTCCAAAGTCGACTGATAACACTCTGACTTGTATTCAGAGCTAAAGCCACAGTACGTTGCCGGGAACCAGCTTCTATCATTCCCACGGCTCTGAGCATTTCTTCCCTGCTTAAATGACGTCGCCGCTCCATAATAACGTTGGTTTTAATCAGTAGTAGGGAAACAGTAGCACTAATAATGTCTTCAATGCGTTGTATGTTTTTATAGGGAAAATATTGACAGCTGATTTTCATCTTTTACTCGAATTTGATTCACAGTTCCTGATTCAAATTATGAAATGCACCAAAAAGGATCCATATAAATTTATAAAATCATAAATTTATTACAAAGCCACATCTCAATCTCAAGAAATCCGCATAAAAATGCTTGATCCCTAGACACTTTTGATGTGTGTATATATATTAGCTGACCCAGCGAACTTCGTACCGTCCTAAAAAAATAGGGGTTGTCCAGCGGACAAAATTGTGAATCTAAACCATTCTCAGATCCCCTTGAACACACACAAAAAATTTCATCAAAATCGGTCCAGTCGTTTAAGAGAAGTTCAGTGACATACACACTCACAGAAGAATTATATATATAAAGATATATCAGGTTCTTCTGTGACGTGTCAGGCGTGTCGTTACGATCCCTTAAATACACTTAGATGAGCGAAAAGATGGCTGGTTCATGCGTCATGCTCGTGAACGGGTGCTGCCAGTGGGGATGAGTCTGCTCTATACTTTAATAATAATAATATATTTATTTATTTCTCCTCACAACATGATGCTATTGTAATAGGTGAATACAATAAGGATAAATCTGTAGGTTGTGAGAAGCTGGTGTCTGACATGGGTATAGAAATACCTGTATTACAGATCACCAGGCCCTCGGCCAACCAGAATGAGATAAATACAATACAACTTAACCAAAACAATTCTACAATATAGGAGAACTTATATAAAAAGAAAAATTAAATATTAGCCTAGTTGTTCGTTTACAGAGATTAACATATCAAAGATCATTGAATGCCACACAAAGTGCAAACAAGTATAGCTGGAAGTTAAATGGACAGTTTCTATTGTGTTGTTTGTTGATATATTTACTTAATTACTTTAAATTACCTAATAATTAACATTACTTTGCTTTACATAAAAATAAAAATATTTATTTTTATTTTTATGTATTACATATTACATGTGTATGTATTACATGTATTACATAAAAATAAAAATATTTATTTTTATTTTTATGTAAAGCTTTACTATTGATATGTTATCTATTATACTTAATACTGTTTGTATTTATACTGTATGAGTATGACACAGTAATCAAAATGTGATAGTGGACGTTTTATTGGTAGCGATATGGGGGCCGTTCAAGTATTACGTAAGCAGATTTATTACAATTATTTACCCCCTCCTCCCGCAAAAGCAAAGCTCTTACCCCTCCCCCCCATCCTTACGTAAACATTGGTAAACCTATATGCATTTTTCCTTTTATGTATTCTGTTTTTTTTATTGATTCATGAGCTTTCATGAGCTTCATGAGCAGCAGTACTTAAAAAGGCTTAATCGATGATGCTGACGTAATCACCATCTCTACCCCCCACTCCCCCATGTCATCAAAAATAAGCAAAGCAAAGACCCCCCTGCCCCCCTATAGTGCTTACGTAATACTTGAACAGTCCCATGTTTTTTTCTGTAAATGTTGCTACTTCTGTTAAACGCTGATGAGTTTCTTGTGCCCATTCTTCTCATCAACTAAAAGCTGTCCTGAATGGGTAGTAGGAATAATAATAAGGCACCTTATATAAAAAAGTAGGACCACCATAAGGCACCTTATATAAATAAAAGTACTACTTAAATAACCGCCGCTCCCAAACAGTTAGCCGGCTCAGAATAAAGCGTCAATTCCGTCATGCTCCCATCGACATGTTCATGGAAATGCACCAGTATTGACAGCTAAGCTGTTCTCTCATTGGCCGGATTGTATTGTTGTCATTACTCCGGCCAATGACAGCCCATTTCTCGTGTGACGTAATTTTCATGCTTGTCTTTTGCCGATTAAGTGACTAAAGAAGTGCTCTACAGACTAATTTCTAAGACCTTATGTCATCTTTTAACGATAAAATCACTAACCTAAATCGATCGAAGTAGTCCATAAGCGGCATTTAAGCACTACTTGTTTGGGAAATATTTTTCTAGTAGTGCATCTAGGGTTTTTAATATCGTTCAAATAACCTCTAAAACTGGTTAATGTTTTAAACTTGTTGAAATTTTCTTACCTTATTGCTCAAATGGAAAAAGCAGTGTGTGACCTTTTCGACATCAGCCCAGGCCACGATGTACCGCGCCATGCTCAGAGGTATCTTGGGCAGGAAGTTGGAGTGAAACTTGCCCTGACAGTAAATAGTGATCACGTCCGTGTCCTTAATCTCGAATATTATACGGAACACTGTGCCTGTAAAAGGAATTTACAAGCAAACATATTGTTTAATATCGTAGGATGACTAGCTAACTCAAATTTTCGCGAAAATCCTAGGGATTTTGTGAAAATGGCGATGGCATTGCTCATCGCTCGGCTCCCAGATCATTTTTTATTTATTTATTTATTAGCTCACAAAACAAGTTACAATTATAAAAAAAAAACAAAGCAATTACAATAATAGAAAACGAAACTGTTACTCTAAATATGTGGGCATAACATGATTAAATTTTATGGGCTGAAGTTTACATTAAAGAAAAATATATAAATCGAATTTCAACAATTAAACAACAAACAAAAATCACTTAAATAAAAGTAAAAAATAACCGATTCTTTTTTTAACGAAGTATTAATCTATTTGTTTCTTAGGTTTTCACGCACATCACTCATTAAATAAAACTAGTTTTCATGCTTGTCTTTTGAAGTATTAATCGTTGGATTTCTCTCCGAATTTCAAGAAGATGACCACAAAAAATAAATCGATCAAGCTCATAACACATTTTTTTAACGTGGGGAAATGCATGACGCATACCCGCTCACTAAACAAGAAGAGCGAGTTATGTCGGACTCTCCCCTGCCCATCCACTAGCTAAAAAAAACATTTCCCCCAGGCGGTAGGCACGGGCCTACCGACTAAAACCCCACGGTGTTTCGTTCTCAGCGATGGTTGTGAAATCAAAGTAACAGCCAGGCCATGTCTTGGAAAGTTCCACAAGGCATCACTACGTCATTAATCAGACGCAGCTTCGCCACGGCTTCTACACGAGGTGGCGAAATACCGAAACATGTGTATGTCGCCGCTAAGTTCCTTGGTCGTCGCACACTACTCCATCGGCTGTTGTCAGAACGACAGCTGCTCTCTACTTTTACCCCAAATATTGGCAATGACACTAACCTCACCTAAAGCCAACGGTTCTTTTTGCCATCTTCGGTGCCGTCTTTGACCTATTGGAGGCCCTGGGCATATTAGGATAATGGGGCAAGGCATAGGGGTGCCTTCCGTTTGGAGATTTAATAGGAACCAGGGACTTTGTATTTGATCTGAGGGGGTCCCCTATCGATCGCGGGGCCCTGGGCACTTGCCGAAAGTGCCCACTGGGAAAGGCGGGTTTTTTTAAAAAACATTGAGAAATATCATCGCAACTGTCTTATTTTCCGCGTTTGGGTGGGGGGGGGGCAGGGTTACTTCCTTGAACAAAACGCTGACAAACTTGACAACTACTGACCGGGCACAAACATATTGTAGTTGGTGTCGTAGTTGCCGCTGCCGATCCATATGCCGTTTTTTCTGGACAGAGAGATGATGTTGTCCCGATGGAAGCGCACGTCGAAATGGAGGACCACGTCCCGGGGCTCCTCCCCCTCCTGCGCGCAAAGGTTCACCGACATTCTGAGAAAGAGACGGACAATTATCATCATCATCTGCCTATTAAGTCCCCTAAATTGACTAGGCTACACTGATGCACTTTATAATAGCCATGGGGTGAGAAAACAACAATAAAGTTTTAACTTTGAATTTACACATTTCTGAAACCTGGAAAAAGATGTTATTTTTAGTTTTAAGAGCGAACGCGACCTGAGAGACATTTGAGATATAGGTATTTTAATAATATAAATATATATATACAGTCGAACACAGAACCTCCTCCTTTTTTGAAGTCGGTTAAAAAACTATTGCTATCACGCATTGGCAAATACCGTGCGATAGGGAAAACAGCAGATAACGCTGAAAATTGCGTATAAAAATTGCAATATTCGAGGTTTGGCCCTCTACGATTTCCTCCTCGAAAATTAGATGTATGTAAAAGAAATTTTACATAAAGAATAATAACTAGTTATACTATGCCTCTATGCTTTGCTTTTTTTGTAAATGATTATTAAATTTATGGCATCTTTAGTGGTGATAAAAATGTGTTTATTTTTGGCATTTTTGAGGACTCATTTTGCAACGATTTGAACTAATGAACACTACAAAACGTGCTTACTTCCTTGCATTCTCCTTGATTTTGCCGCCAATTTCGATTCTGTCCCCAATTTTGAGGATCCCTGGTATATTTGCTGTGAACACAGGCATCCTATTCTCAAATCCAAGGTTTTATTGTTATGTTTTGCCCCAGCTACTTCTATGTCAGGGCCTAAGGTGTATATTGACATTTTGGACGAGAAATTTATACATCTGGCTAATTTTCTATTTGTTGTATTAATAATTTTATGGATTTTCGGATTTTCAATAATTACAAAATTACAGTGACAGTTGCCAAAAGCACCATGACTTCGTACTTCTAGCCTTCTAGCATTTTATGCTCCCTTTAGCAAGTAGCTAAAAATTTTGATTTGATATATAAGTAAGTCTAATTAAATACAACATGATTACGGTAATAAGTGATTCGGCAATCCTATCATGAAGTAGGTAACCTCCGTAAATAACCAAATAAAATTATTTTCATGTTTTCCATAAAATAATGTTGTACCTATGTGTTTTTGCCTTGTATAGATTTATTATTGTTTAATGTGTGTCTAGCTTTATGATATTCAGTAAGGTGGTTTGCCAATGCCAGCATTAAATAATTCGTAGCTAAATTATCAAAAGTAAATCCTAAAATAAAACTAATAACAATGCTGTATGGGTTCTCTTTCCTTTGCCTTTTCAGAAGAGTGAGAATATAAAAACAATATTAAACAGTCATGTCGACGTCTCATAACTAGGGATCAAAGTCTTTCGATATAATTAAATTATCGATATTCATATGGAAGTCAAATAAACATCAATATCCGATATATCGACCATAGCTTGAGCGCCGTAAATTCGAACCACCTGATGGTCGTCTGGGTGATACGCTCGACTAATCAATCAGTAGCCTGTCGGTCGCTAGCAGCAATATATGTATGTTCACCTGCAAATTTTACGAATTTGTATACAACAAACATGAAATTACATTCTACTTAAAAATAGTTAAGTTAACATTGTGTCCTTGTCATTCTCTACAAAGAATGTGAAGGAAATACTGATGAATTATTAATTAAGTCGATATCTTTAGTATTTTGTAGCTCGCTATAAAAAAGGGATGCCTATTTTTTGCAATATCGACATATATATCGAAGTCAGATAAATATTGACATCCAATATGATCAATGGAATATTTATAGATATTTTTAGTGTGCTTTGTTTTGCCAACAAACTGTAAAGTTTTGTAAAAAAAGGCAAAACCAAAACAAAAGGCAATTGAGGAACTTAGAACATTAATTATTTTGTTAAGAATAATTATTGTCATTTTTCTATGGGTTGAAGCTAGTTTTACTTGAATCGAGATTGAGCAAAGGAGGCGGTTCATGGCCTTAGACTGTCTTTATCAGCTGAAATAATCAAATAAACAAAATGTTTTACAATCAACCCTTCCAAATATCAAGGGGGGGTTTTCAATGTCGACTCCATGAATTTAACTATTGATATTTTGGAGTTGTATAATCATTATTATCGAGTACTCTATAAATCGTTGTTGCAACCCTACTCATGTCATGTCAATGTCATTTTCTTGATTGACGTGTATTGCCGATTGCCGACTGGACCGCTTATCTACAAACATAACCTTAAATTCCTGTATTTATTGAACTTTCTTTCATAAAAGATAAGTTTTCCACGCTCATATCAATATTGCAAAGTCATATTAACTTGAGCAGTGATAAGAAATTGTTACTAAGGTAAGTGCTACTATAAATTTATGTTTCAAAGTGTGATGATGAAACTTCGAAAAGAGTTATACACTTAATTAAACGTGTAAATTCTCTTGTAATATTGTAGATTAGGCATACTCACTCCTTGAACATCATTTATTGAATTATATTAAAATGGGAAAACATTAATTTGTATGCAATAGTTTAAGTAACCTAGATTAGGTATTTTGATCTATTTATAGTTTTCTTTGTTTGTTGTTTACTATTAATGTTATTGAAATTTGTAAGAGTAATTTACTCAAAATTTTATTCAAGTAACAGACAGTGAAGTGAGGGACTCGATGGCGCGGGTGGTTAGCGCGTTCGGCTGCGATCATTGAAGTCAAACAACTTTCGCAGTGGTCGGTCATTGGATGGATGACCAAAAATCTATCTCGAGTTCCTCTGTGCTTCGGAAGGCACGTTAAGCCATTGGTCCCGGCTGCATTTGCAGTTGTTAGCACCCACCAATCCGCACTGGGCCTGTGGGGTGGATTGTGGCCCAATCTCCCTATTCCATCCATAGGGAAATCCTGTGTCCCCGCAGTGGGGACATTAATAGGCTGATGATGATGACCACTAGCTGTCGTCTGTCTGTGGGACACTTGTGCGACATCCCTTTCTAACTATGCTCAAGTAAAGATCAACACTTAGTTGTCATTCTGTAATACGGGCCTTAGTGCCATAACGCACTGAAGTAAGTAGGTAGGTAGTATGTATATAAACAAAAATAATCACTTACCCCCTTATCAATAAACGAGGAATAAGCTTAGACTAGTTATGCAGTGTTTTGTTCATGTCACTCAAATGCTATTTGTCATTCAATAGACAGAGGATAAACATGGAGTAAATAATCCAAGCGTAGTTTTCGATTATTAATAAGAGTGTTAGAACATTAAACGGATATAATTAGTTTAGTTTAGTTTTTTGGGGCAATATTCAGTAGAACCTGCCAATCCGCACTGGGCCCACGAGGTGGGTCATGGCCCAATCTCTCTATTCCATCCATGGGGAAGGCCTGTGCCCCAGCAGTGGTGACATTAAAAGGCTGATGATGATGATGGTGAAGTTAATCTAAATAAAGCCCAACCATTGAGATTTAAAACAACTCAAATCCAGGGTGAAACAGTTAAATGTTTACTTGTTTTGTTTGCTATTTAATAATAAAATAAATAAAAAAATAAAATAGCCTTTATTTCAGAACTTTCTTAACAAAACATTGATTTAACATTTTACAATAAGTTACGCAGTTCTGTGTGCCTTTTGGCAAAGGCTTCCTCTAACCGACGCCATTCACCTCTGTCAGCTGCGACTCTTGTCCAATACGGACCCAGAGTACAACTGATTTCGTCTTCCCATCTTCTAAACTGGCGTCCTCTCCTGCGCTTTCCATCTCTAGGATACCAGATTTGTTGCTATTTATGTTATTGAAAAGTCCAACCATTAAGATTTGGAACAACTCTTTACAAACAGATCTATTCAAAACCGGCTAAAATTTTAATGATATGAAAGGCTTAAATTTTTCCCGCCTCCGATTATGCATCCCTATAAATAAATGAGGTTTCATTACAAAGTCAATAAAAACAAAGACAAAACCGGGTCACTGCAAGACTCCACCTCGTCGCCGCCCAGCAGCGAGTTCCGCTCTCCTGTAAATAGACAGACGACTGCCTGTCTATAGGAGTAGTATTTGCTAATTTTGCAGGATTTATTTGTTATTTATCCATCTATGTCATTCAGACAAATTGGAAGGTAAACGCAACACCCTCGCCAACATGTATTGCGGCGGCGCCGCCGTGTGCCATAAAACATGATTATTAAATAACTATCATATACATGCTCTTTCAGGTTATCATTCAGCATGGTTGTGTCTGAGGAGACCCAGCCCACTGTAGAGGGTGATGCGGCCGTCAGCAAGAAAGCGGCCAAGAAAGCTGCTAAAGCCGCTGAAAAGCAACAGAAAAAGGCGGACCATAAGGTAAACGAAATTGGTTTGTTTTTTTTTTCAAAGATTATGGAGAGGTAACGGATAGGTAAAGACAGGTCATTTTATTTTCCGTGATTTATAATAGGTTTGATTTGAAACTAGGTCTTACTACTTATTGTAGAAATTATTTTTTCTGTTTGCAACATCATCTATTAGCTACTCAAGCTGTTCAGTATATGTAGAAGCACCTGGTAATAGTGAAAAGTTTTATAAAATTTGTGATGTATATACTGTTGGTGTACCTTTTAAATATATAAATAATAATAATAAATAAATATTTCCAACACTCACACCAATTAGCCTAGCCCCAAAGTAAGCACTGTAAGGCTTGTGTTATGGGATGATAGGGTAACGGATAGAATACATATACAGTACATATATAAGTATATTTATATAGAAATACATATTAAACATCCATGACTGGAGAACAAATGCTCGTATTCATCACACAAACATCTGTCCCCACCGGGATTCGAACCCGGGACCTCTCGAGTCGGCGACACCATGAAACCCGGCGTACAAACCACTCGGCCACGGAGGTCGTCAAAATAAATAAATAGATTGTATTCTGCAAGGATATTTATAAATATACACAACCAGCTGTGCTCCGGTGTTACCCGAGGTTTATTAGGGACATTTTCCCGCAGTAAAACAAAGCCTTTGTGTTAATCTAACTAGATTTTATTAAAATCGCTCCAGCTGTTTAGACGTGAGAAGTTACAAACATAAACACTCACAAACTTTCGCCTTTATAATATTAGTGTGATTATCAACTTAATCAAATTAAATTATACCAAAAAATTCATTACTTGGCATTTAGCTAGAGCAGTGTTTCCTAACCTTTCCAATACGGCTACCCCTGTAACCTATTACGAAAATAGATTTTACACCGACTTTAAAATGTTTTCACAGTCCAAGAAATTCCAAATTTGGCCGCTACATCTTCGTCTCAAATAATGTCATCATCAGGAGAAAATCTCGACCCGCTTCCCACACTCGGCACCCCGCGGGCTCGCTAGCAAGAAGGAGCGCATGCTCTAATTAGTAGTATTATTATATAGTATTTTCTTATTATTTAAATTTGAACAAATAATTAGGTTCTTTGTTACCCCCGAAGTATGGCTGATTTACCCCCGGAGGGGTAAATACCCCCATGTTCGAAACCCAGGAACTAGAGGTTAAGAAAATATATTTTTTTTAATAATTATGTATGTGAGAGTAACAGTAACTTTAATGCTTTCTCTTCATTCAAAAAGTTTACCTTCCTAAAGAAGTTTTAACCAATATCTTTTCTTCAGTCAGCATCAGCTCAACCTCAAGCGGAAGCAGAACCCGATTTCTCCGAAGGACTCTACGGCACGTACAAGCTGATGCAGTCCTCAGGAGAGCACAGGGATAGAGTCTATACGGATGTCAAAGATTTGTGCGTTAAGAAGAACGAACAGAATGTGTGGGTGCGAGGTAAGATATTTTATTTTGTAATCATCATCATCTTCAGCCTATTAATGTCCCCACTGCTGGGGCACAGGCCTTCCCTACGGATGGAATAGGGAATTTGGGCCATATCAATCTATACACCTCTCAACTAAAGATCAAATAGTAATATATTTATAACTAAAAAAAAATATGTGTGGCACTCGGGGACTGCCGCGGTAAAGCTATTGCATAGCATTTTTTATCAATTTATGCAATTATAATTATTTATTTATGCAGTTTTTTTCTTTCATATTAATTCAAGTTTTTTGAAGTGAGACTTCTTTATCGGCGTTGGAAAAAAATTTACCGTCACATTTTTTCGGTTACGCGTCACGTTTTTTGGTTACGCGCCATCTTTTTTTTAAAAGAGCACTATTTACCTCATCCGAACAATTGCTTCTTCTGTCAACTTTAAAAAAAAAAAGTATCGACAGCAAATATTCGTGTTTCACACAAGGTAAGGTAAGGTAAGGTAAGGTAAGGTAAGTTAAGGTAAGGTAAGGTGTAGTTATACCCCTTTAGTGGGTGAGTTTTTGAAAAATCTTAGCGCACGCTTATATATATATTCTTTGATAGTAATTCATGTTAGACTTTTTGACCGTGGTGACCGATAAGAAAACATTTTTTTTTCCATCTCCTTCATGCAGTCGGCCAGCATACTTTTTATATCACCTGTGTGATTATTTCTGGCGGCGTTCTCCTTGGCCTTACCCTGGACCTCATCTTCCTTTGGAGAGCCACTGGCCAGGTCGACAGGTTGACGTACAGCAACCGGTTTTTCGGGCTCGGAAGATTCGCTGATACCATTTACAGGCGTACGCGTGTTGTCACCCTTGCGTGTGCTCTTCTTGCAGTTCGAGCATATCCAGTCCTTGCTGACACGACTTTTCCGGGATGGCGAGGCAGGCCTTTTTATTGGGCAAGCACAGCAAACAACAGCATTGCCCGGCGCCAAAAAACTTTCACAAGCTCCATAGTTTACCATCTTTAGTCCAAAAATTTTAATTATAATTATAAAGTCTAAATTAAAGGGAGACAAATAAAAATAAGAACAGGTGCAGGGGTCTAAAAGAAATATATAAAAAAACGAAAAATAAAAAAAAATCCGAATGCGGGATTTGAACCGACGACCGCGGTGATGCGTCGAACGTTAGTCTCGTGGCAAATACTTAACACACTGCGCCGCTTAGATTGATATTAGAATGGCGAAAATAGTGTTCTATTGGTACATGCACTATAGCAAGAATAAAAAAAAATGGGTGCGTGTACTTATGTAGGCGCGTGAGAAGTTATCCTTCTTTGGCATCGTTTAAAATTAGTTTTTAATTGCATGCAAATAATTAATTACAATAAATTAATAAAAAGTCTGGAAAAGGACATAGTCAATAAAGTTCAGTTTTAATTTGAAAAAATAAATAAATAATCAAAATATTCAATTAAAATCGCTACTGAATATAATTTATTAGAACATATCTGATTTGCACTTGTATGAAACTCAAACACGTATTCCGAATATACAAACTAGAAACATGTGGATAAATATTATAAATATGAATACCTATAACTGTTACATTATTACAAAAAATAAAGATGTGGTTTTTGGTTCTACTACACCAATGGTCAAGAGATGGCGCTGTAGTCTCCTGAATCGCGCTTTGGTTCCGTTGTTCCAGATTAATAAATACTTTTGATGGCCTTCACAATGCAGTCGTTAGCACCCACTAAATAGAGATTCTATTTCTATTTTGTTGGTAGATTTTCTTAATGTGCGGTAAACACAAAAGTAACGCATGAAGTTGGTCGCTAAAGCGACCAACTTCATGCTGTTAAAATTTTGTGTTACAGTGATGCGCGCGCATTTTAAAATTTCACTCTCATCATTTTTTCATAACGCCCCTAAAGAAGTATAACTTCAAAAATTCTGTAACGTTTTTCGTTACAGAATTTTTTGATTCGGTCCCCGCGTTCAAAGCCCGCGATAAAAGCTATACCATAGCTTAAAAACCATTTAAAAAAATGTATATCTTGTACACACACATATATACATACAGATGCAGCAAAAGAAGTTTCACTTCAGTCGTGTGGGCATAATAAGCACACTCGTTTCTAGTAAAATTTTATTTAATTTTAAACATGTAGCATTTAACTGCTATGCTTAAAAAAATTAAAATACATACAGCTATGAACTTTGGTTTTTGTCTTCTTTTTTTTCTAAATGGCTTCGCAGGGGTTGTGCATTTACAGGTTTTTTAAATTTTTAGGTCCCTATTTATACAATCAAATTAATAAACTGTTGAATATTTACCCATTACCCAGGTTAGTATGTAAAGAAGTTATCTATAGGTGGCTTCAAGCAATGTCTTATGAAGAAACCGAAAATTTTATAAATATACTAACTTGAATAATTCAAACAGATACATACAAGAATGCTACAAATACTAAATAAATCCGCACTTAAACACATATACATAAACATACACACACACACACACATACACCCACACATCATTTTCATACATTACATATTAATTCAAATATTATACTCATAGATGCCTTGCTTTTAAAATGACCTACTGATCTTTTCATTTATGAGATATTTATTTAGTCTAGTTTAGTATTCTCATGTCTGTGGGGGTTTATGGCGCTGAATGCTGAAATACAGGCATTGCCTAGTTCAGCAGCAGAGGCTAATAAATTATACTTTCTGTAACTAGTGCTAAGTTTGTTACGTAATCTTACTGTACTGATTTTTTTGGTCAATAAATCTTATTATTATTATTATTTAGCCAATGTCAAGTTTTAAAATGTTTACAAAATCTGTAGCACTCGTGGTCAAAGTAATAAATCAAGTCAAAGTAAGTGGCAGTCAAGTCAATCCCCCTTTCCCTATGTTTCAGTAAAAGTGTGGGGATTGATGAGATGCGGCATTTCTTTGCATCTTATCCTTGGCGTCGCACTTGCTTTTCTTCGGACGACCCGACTTGGTGCGCGGATGCCATTGCTGACGTGATGCGTCAGGCTATGGAGTACTTTATTCCATACTCTGACGTACCGCGCCGGTTTAGCGCCCGCCCTTGGTTTGACGCGGACTGTGCTAAAGCAGAGGCGCTTAAGCATTTTGCGTATCGCTCCTGGGCGGATGCTCGAGCCCGCAAATCACCAAATGTTCGAAGTCTGAAGAAGGCCTTTAACAGTGCCGCCAAGTCCTGTAAAGGTGTTATCCGCAAGGCCCGCTTCGATCACATTGGCCGTATAGGAGCCAAATTAGCCTCCTTTCCATCCGGAAGCAAAGCTTTCTGGTCCCTAGCCAAAACAGTCGAAGCCAATTTTTGCCGGTCGTCGCTGCCGCCTTTAATTAAGCCTGACGGATCGCTGGCTCACACCTCCAAAGAGAAGGCTGACTTGTTTGCCTCTATATTTGCGAACAACTCACAGCTAGATGCTGCTGGCGTAAACCCACCTAAGCTTCCTCAGTGTTCTTCTACCATGTTGGAAGTTCGCATCCATCAGAAAGAGGTACTCAAAGCGCTAAGCACTCTAGACGTGAATAAAGCCAGTGGGCCGGATGGCATTCCAGCTATTGTCCTGCGGAATTGTGCCCCTGAGTTGTCTCCTATTCTGACTCGCCTATATCGCTTATCCCTTGAGATTGGCCAAGTTCCGAAAACCTGGAAGCTTGCCAATGTCCAACCAGTGCCCAAAAAGGGTAGTCGTGCCGACCCTGCCAACTATCGACCTATTGCAATCACCTCCATACTCTGTAAGATTATGGAGCGTGTATTGAACAACCGTCTCCTCGCTTACCTCGAAGATAACGATCTCCTCAGTGACTGCCAATTCGGTTTCCGCCGTGGGCGATCTACTGGGGATCTTCTTGTGTATGCTACCCACTTATGGAGTGAAGCCATAGAGAAACGCGGCGAAGCTCTCGCCGTTTCTCTTGATATATCTAAGGCTTTTGACAGGGTCTGGCATGCAAGTCTCATTGGCAAGCTTCCATCATATGGAATCGCTGTCGGACTTTGCAACTGGATTGCAGATTTTCTGGGGGGCAGATCGATACGAGTGGTCATTAATGGCACATCGTCGGATCTGCTTGGTATTAATGCCGGTGTCCCCCAGGGATCTGTCCTCTCCGCAACTCTTTTCTTGCTGCACATCAATGATCTGCTCCTAACTCCCGGTATCTTTGGGTATGCAGACGACAGCACAGTTTCGGGGAGATATCTGCCTGATGTGAAGTCTGATGCAGATGTCCGATCATTAAGGGAGGCGATGGTGGAGGGAGTGAATGCAACCCTAGAAGCTGTTTCCCTCTGGGGTGAAGCCAACTTGGTTGGATTCAATCCCTCTAAAACACAGGCCTGTCTCTTCTCGACGAAACGGAGTCCATTCCATCTGACTCCGACTTTCCGAAATGTCTCCGTGCCGGTTAAAGACCATCTCGAGCTCTTGGGTATGGACATCTCATCCAGCCTCAATTTCGGTCGCTACATCGAGTCCATTGCTAAAACCGCTGCCAGAAAACTTGGAATACTTTCTAAGGTCAGGCGATATTTTACATCTGAGCAGCTCCTTAACCTTTACCGAGCCCAAGTTCGCTCCTGCTTGGAGTACTGTTGTCACCTTTGGGATGGATCTGCTCGGTATCAGCTGGATGCACTGGACTCGGTGGAACACCGTGCGAAGAGACTCATAGGCAATGACGCTCTCGTTGAGGCTAATCTTCAGAGCCTTGACCACCGAAGACGTGTAGCTTGCCTTTCGGTGTTTTATCGGTTACATTTCGGAGAGTGTGCGGAGGTATTACATAATTTGATCCCCCCTTCCCCTTTCCACCATCGGACGACCAGGCGCGGCGAGGGCTTCCACCCTTATGTTGTCGAAGTTCCTCCCATTCGCACGAAGCGATTTGCTTCGGCCTTCATTATACGAACGGCTAGGGAGTGGAACTCCTTGCCGAGGTCTGTTTTCCCGGACCAATATAACCTGGACATCTTCAAGGCCAGAGTGAACAGGCATCTTCTAGGCAGGCGTGTACCATCCTAGGCCTCATCATCGCTTTCCATCAGGTGAGATTGTGGTCAAACGCATTGCCTATCTAGCATAAAAAAAAAAAAAAAAAAAAAAAAATTTACTGGAACCTCCCTGTGGACTTCTTGAGGGAACGTCGAAAGACGCTTTCCGCTATTTTGTTTCACTTGCCAACACTTGTGCATGTTCATGAACACTTAGTGGTTAATAATCCACCATTATTAGACACTAACATCTGCCACAACATAATTTTTAACAAGAAAAACAAAACTGCTAAAGTGATGCTTCCCGATCCCGCCAAAAAGTACGATTTTTGTCTTTGACTTTAACTTTGACTTTGATTGTTCAGCCCGTCTCCAAACGTCTCGTGCTAAAGGCAAGCAGTGTTTCGCCGTATTACGTCAGTCTTCGAGTACTATCCAACTTTTGGTATCGGTCAGCGAAGAGAAGAAAGTCAGCAAGCAAATGGTGAAATTCGTTGGAAAGTAAGTTATTTGCATATTAAAAATTATGTTTTTAGTTACATATGTGTTAAGTTTGGTTACTAACTACATCAATAATGAATCTTAAGAAAATGTAACTGGAAAAGATTCCACGCGGATCAGGCAGCAGACCGGACTCGAACCCGCACCCTTCGCTATCCGGGCAAATGCACTGACCATTATGCTACCGCGGCCCTGACGGCTGTGTCGAAATTCTTCTAACTATTCTTAAGCTGAAGGCAGCGCCATCTCTTCGCATTGTAGGTAAGCCACAATGTCAAATGAATACTTTTACAAGTATTAAACATTTGAAAGAAGAAATAGCAATTATTATAACTTGATGTTTAAATCAAAAGAAAATATAACTGGTCAGTGCATTCGCCCGGATAGCGAAGGGTGCGGGTTCGAGTCCCGTCTGCTGCCTGGTCCGAATTTTTCTAGTTATATTTTCTTTGAATTTCTTTGTTCTAGCATCACAAAGGAATCCATTATAGACGTGCACGGTACAGTCGTTAAAACGGCATCCCCCGTCGAATCTTGTACAGTCAGCGATGTAGAACTGTTAGCCAGCGAAATATGGGTGGTTTCAAGTGCTAAGGCACAGTTGCCTTTGCAAATAGAAGATGCGGCTAGACCAGAGAAAAATGATGTAAGTATATTATGTTAAGTTTATTTATTTCATCATCATCATCATCAGCCTATTAATGTCCCCATTGCTGGGGCACAGGCCTTCTCTATGGATGGAATAGGGAGATTGGGCCATGACCCACCACGCGGGCCCAGTGCGGATTGGCGAGTGCTAACGACTGCAGATGCAGCCGGGACCAACGGCTGAACGTGCCTTCCGAAGCACGGAGGAGCGAGAGATAGTAAATTTTTGGTCACCCATCCAAAGACCGACCACTGCGAAAGTTGCTTAAATTCAACGATCGCAGCCGAACGCGCTAACCACTTGCGCCATCGAGTTCCTCAATTATACGGAATGTGTTCCTCATTCTGTATAAAGAATGACAAAGATGCACTGTTGTCAAATTTAAGTTTAGATATAGAGAATCATGGCAGAATCGACACCATTGTTATGGTAAATTAAACTTAATAATGTAATTTCAAATTTAATTTAATTGAAATTCCTGTAAAATCACTTTAGCATTTGGAATTTTATATTAATTTCGGTTTCACCACTTCACATACACATATACAAGAAAGGGAGAGAGAGAGAACTATCTTATTGACCTATAAAACACATATAATAATAAAGATAAGATAATAAAAATAAAGATATAATTACAAACTGCTAAAATAAAAATAAAACATAGGGGAAACTACCCAATCATTGGCACTCTTCCTATTATTGGCACTTTAAAGTTTAGTTCGAAAAAACCAGGAAACAATAGATTGTAGGAATAATGCTGCCAATTTTCAAATTTCGTAACCATACTAGGTCTTTTTAATATGTAACCACCTTGAATAATCTATTGTCTCCTTGTTTTTTCGAATTAAACTCAAAAGTGCCAATAATAGGGTGGTTTCCCCTATATAAAAAGACGACCTCCGTGGCCGAGTGGTTTGTACGCCGGGTTTCATGGTGTCGCCGACTCGAGAGGTCCCGGGTTCGAATCCCAGTGGGGGCAGATGTTTGTGTGATGAATACGAGCATTTGTACTCCAGTCATGGATGTTTAATATGTACTTCTATATAAATATACTTATATATGTACAGTATATGTATTCTATCCGTTACCCTAGCATCCCATAACACAAGCCTTATAGTGCTTACATTGGGGCTAGGCTAATTGGTGTGAGTGTTGAATAAAAAAAAATATATATATATAAAAAGTAAGCATTACACACATTTATAAACCTAACAGCCATCATATTGGTCAATCAGGACCCTGCCTCAGCATAATGCTGCCTTGGCATGTAACTAAACGTGTCACGACAACGCTGGTATTCTGACAGGGCCTGTATGGTGCACGATGTTTCGCTATACAAATTACAATATAATAAATTTAATAAAGAATACGAATACATTTTTAATAAGATAAATAGTTCTAAGTGCAAAAATGAACAGAATCTAAAAAATAATATATGTTTATGTAGAACTAATGGCCCGCCCTCGCTTCACTTCGGTGTAGAGCTGTAGTGTAAACTATAGTTTTTGTTCTCAGGCTTGTGCTATAAAGAATGACTTTATTTATATAATTACACGTGTTATTGTGAGTCAACCATAAAAGATAGACATATGTTGTTGTGGGATATTTTTTAGACAATTTTATGTAGAATATTTCCGTCATACATGATTTCTATGTAACTTTAACCATTAAGGCTGCACACGCGACGGAAGCTTAAAAAATGGAGTAACTTCTCCCGTTTTCCCAACATTTCCCTTCACGACTCTGCTGCTATTGATTGTAGCGTGATGAAAAGTATACTATAACCTTCCCAGGAGTATGAAGAATAATTGTACCAAGTTTCGTTAAAATCCGTTGAGTAGTTTTTGTTTCTATAAGGAACATACACACAGACAGACAGACAGACAAAATTTTTACTGATTGCATTTTTGGCATCAGTATCGATCACTAATCATCCCCTGATAGTTATTTTAAAAATATATTTTAATGTACAGAATTGACATCTCTACAGATTTATTATAAGTATAGATAGGGTATTTGACAAGTTTTAGAAAACGATCTCACGTTATTTACTAGTGTTTGTAGAGTCCGTAAAAAGTGGATATTCATCATTATGTTGCGTATTTCGGTAAAAAAAAACTAAATTCAAGTTGCCGCGAAAAACGTATCTCTGGACAATATGGCGACTGGTGTGTGACGTCACGCGACTATTATTAAAACGTCAAACCATACAATCTATTGTCAGTTTAACCGGAAGTTTATTTGCGTGTGACGTCATTTTAGGCTCCGCCAACCGCAAGCGTTTTGGGTCTCGTGACAATAGATAAGAAAACTGTTATCTTTTTCGTTAGTTTTTAGTAAAATCATGAATATTTTTTCTGTAAAATTAGTAAAAACTCCTTCCAATATTCATTCTAAATACAGATACTAACAATTGGCACTTTATTTTTAATACTATCGAATACCCTATTAAAATAAACTTTAAAATGTAATTTCAAATGAAATTAAATTAAAATTCCTGTAAAATAGCTTTAGCATGTGGAATTTTATAATAATTTAGGTTTCACCACTAAGATTTATCCAAAAAAAAATTGTTGACGTCACTAATTGGACCACCCTGTATATACATACACATATACGTTTATGTAGAATTGTTGAAAATGTAGCTGGAACAGGATGAACAGTGTACCCCCCATAATCAACTAATATTGTCCATGCTGCTAGTTCTGAAGATTAGCTATTTTTCCCCCTACATTTAGCTGTTTCTTTTTCAATTTTAGGTGCTATTATCATATTTTGATTTTTTAACTAATAGGGTATTTGACAGTGTTAAAAATAAAGTGCCAATTGTTAGCATCTGTGTTTAGATTGAATATTGACAGGTTGACAGGGGTTTTTACTATTTTTACTAAAAAAATATTCATAATTTTAAAAACTAACGAAAAAGATAATAGTTTTCTTATCTATTGTCACGTGACCCAAAACGCTTGGGATTGGCGGAGCCTAAAATGACGTCACACGCAAGTAAACTTCCGGTCAAAGTGACATTACATTGTATCGTTTGACGTTTTAATAACAGTCGTGTGACGTCACACACTAGTAAGACTCCATATTGTCCAGAGAAACGTTTTCGCGGCAACTTGAAAATGGAGTTTTTGATTTGGTAATTTTTACTGAAATACACAACAGAATGATGAATATCCACTTTTTAGGGACTCCATAAACATTAGTCAATAACGTGAGATCGTTTTCTAAAACTTGTCAAATACTCTATTGACTGTGCAAAAGGAGTGTTATGCTTTAACGATTTGCATGTGTTCTGTATTTCACCACTGGCTTAATTGGTTGGTTTCTTATACAAAATGTCATTCCTCATTTAGTTTTATTGCCACGACAAAAAGCTTTGTATCCGTCTGTTCAAGGTTCCATCTGTGTCTTTAGGAACAAACTCACAAATAAATTCCGTTTCAGTTTTTTGAAAATACAACAAGAACCGAAAATTTTCTGGGGTTAAAAACTATTCTACGTCTCAATCCAGGTAGTAAACAATGTGTGTGCCAAATTTCATCTAAATCCGTTCTGCCGTTTTTGCCTGATTGAGTAAAAAACTTACAAACTTCCACAGTTATAAGAGTATAATCGAATGCGCTTTGTAACTCATTCGTATAAAAACTTCGGTACCTTCCAATACCCTCTTAGGGGATAATTTATTAAGATTAAGTATTCGTTGAGGAGCGCGATGGCGCAAGTGGTTAGCGCGTTCGGCTGCGATCGTTCAAGTTAAGCAACTTTCACAGTGGTTAGTCATTGGATGGGTGACCAAAAATTTACTATCTCGAGTTCCTCCGTGCTTCGGAAGGCACGTTAAGCCGTTGGTCCCGGCTGCATCTGCAGTCGTTAGCACCCGCCAATCCGCACTGGGTCCGCGTGGTGGGTCATGGCCCAAACCTCCCTATTCCATTCGTAGGGAAGGCCTGTGCCCCAGCAGTGGGGACATTAATAGGCTGATGATGATGAAGTATTCGTTACTTCAAAGTAACAAATAGAATAGCTATTTTTTTGTGGGAAATTATTATACATATATATTTTTTACTAGCTGACCCAGCGAACTTCGTACCGCCCTAAAAAAAAAAAGGGGTTGTCCAGCGGACAAAATTGTGAATCTAAACCATTCTCAGATCCCCTTGAACACACACAAAAAATTTCATCAAAATCGGTCCAGTCGTTTAAGAGAAGTTCAGTGACATACACACTCACAGAAGAATTATATATATAAAGATATGACTATATTTTTTTTTGCTATTTTTTTATAGTTTGTATCTATTTATATATTATATTTATTGTATTTTTTATATTTATATGTCTAGTTTATGTAGGTGTATCAAATTTAGTATAAAAAAAAAATGTGTGTGTCAGCTCCGACGCACGACTGCAGTTTACTCCTTAAGTTCGATAGTCTAACCAGACGCAAAAAGAGTTTATTTAACTTAAAAAAGATTGATACTGTATGAAAGGGTAAATTAACAAATTAATGAAAATAATATACATATATAAATATATATTTATTCATTTCATATACATTTATTGTAACTAATCGACGAAATATTTTACATTAAACTTTTTACAATAGTCAATTTCAGTTGTGCATAAATATATCATTAGGAATGTTGATAAATTATGTAATTATTATTATCAGACTATTATCATTTTTTTAAATATTAATTAAATCACCATTGTCTGTATTATTAATTACAGTGACAAGTGGTTTATGGTAACTAAAATAAGACACATGGACGTTCGTAGATACGTGGTTCACGAATCTTGAAAATACCGCATCAATGGTTGTACCATACCTCGTTGTCCCCATTGCTCTATCAGAAACAATATCTAAATTCAGTTCAGATTTAAAAAAAAAATATTAATGTCAATCCGTCATCTTCGTTTGTCAAAGTTGCGCGACATAGGATGCGCACCAAAAACGTAACGAGGTCATTCATCGATGTATTTTACTCCTCACATTTTTCTCATACCGGGCCCCTTATATATGCAAATCGATTCTTAAGGAGTAAACTCCAATATTAATTTATTTTAATCGCTGTTATTTTTTAAATGTTTTATTATAAAGCATTTTGCCCTAACGCCATACCATTTGTCTCTAACACTCGTTCAGGTTGACTGGTAGAGAATGCCTATGGTACTAAGTCCGCCGTTTGCATATGTATGGCAATGAAGTAATATATAATAAACAAAAAATTTAATCTATGTATTTGTCGACAGGACCCAGAGGCTCTCAAGATTCGAGTAAATCAAGACACACGTTTGGACAATCGAGTATTAGATCTCCGTACTCCTGCCAACCAGGCCATCTTCAGGATAGAAGCTGGAGTATGTAGACTGTTCAGGGACATACTTACGAAGAGAGGTGAGTTGGTTAGCTAATTAAAGAAACTTAAACTCGAACCCGCACCCTTCGCAATCCGGGCGAATGCACTGAGCAATTATGCTACCGCGGTCCTTACGGACCGCGTCGAAATGCTTCTAGCCATTCTTAAGCTGCAAGGCAGCGCCATCTCTTCGCATTAATTCATCATTCGTCCGCGTGGAATTTTTTCTAGTTATATTTTCTTTAGATTTAAACATCCAAGCAGTTACATGCTTTAAAAATACCTAATAAAAATTATATTTAATTATATTTGTTCCTATCCAGGTTTCGTTGAGATTCATACGCCGAAGATAATTTCAGCAGCATCCGAGGGCGGAGCTAATGTCTTCACCGTGTCTTATTTCAAGTCTTCCGCATATTTGGCTCAAAGCCCGCAACTTTACAAGCAGATGGCTATAGCTGCTGATTTCGACAAGGTAGGTACATTAAATTTTAGCTCTTAAGATTAAAGCCTTCAAATAATAGGGGTGATGACGGGGTACAGTAAACGAAATTCTATTTAGTCCGTCAGTTAGATGATCAAAAAATAATGAACACGTATTTTTTCTTTGGGCAATCAACCAAAAAATGACAAAGTTATAGCGCGTCAAAGTTTGGGAGTAGGGGCTCGTGACGTCACTTTTGAGTGAATTTTCACTTATAAGTGTACTCAAACGTGACGTCATGCGACTTTTCAAATCAATATATCTCTGCAATGTTTATATTATGTGAAAAAAGAATAAATACGTGTCCAATACTTTTTCATAATGTACCTGATAAACGAAGAAAAAAAAAATAGTCATCATCCCTATCATCTTAAAACTGCACTTGAAAAAAGTTTTGAAACGCTAGATTATAAAAATACAGAAACTATATTCAAAATAATAAGGTAAGTTAGGTAAGCGCGCTCCATCGTACACCATAATATTGCTTTCCATCAGGCGAATTATGGTCAATAATTACCTATTACCGAATAAAAAAATAAAAAAAAGATAAATATTATAAGATGCACACATACACACACACTCACACACACACACACACACAAACACATAATAACTAACTCCTTTGGCTATTCCATTGAATTAATAACTTAAGAACAGTTATTTGGATTAATAAATTGTTATGTTTTTATTTATTTTTTAAGCATTTAACTGCTAGATGTTTAAAAAAAAATTTTTTTCTAGTAAACTTTTCTTTAGATTTAAACATCTAGCAGTTAAATGCTTAAAAAATAAATAAAAACATAACTATAATTGCAATTTCTTCTTTCAAATGTTTAATACTTGAAAAAGTATTCATTTGACATTGTGGGTTACCTACAATGCGAAGAGATGGCGCTGCCTTGCAGCTTAAGGCTAGGAAAATTTCGACGCGGCGAATAGGGCCGTGGTAGCATAATGGTCAGTGCATTCGCCCGGATAGCGAAGGATGCGGGTTCGAGTCCCGTCCGCTGCCTGGTCCGCGAGGTTTTTTTTCTACTAAACTTTTCTTTAGATAATAAATTGTTTACTAAATGGTACACAACTTTATGAATAGGGTGGAGGGTTGATTACCTGAGACACAGGATTCAACCTAGTTCAAGTGTCAACCCACCATAATCTGATTGATCAATACGTACCTTTTATTTTTGGTAAAAAAATGCATGTTTTTTATATCATTGTTTTTATGTAGCCATTAATACCAACATTGTGAACATTGTGATTATGGTGAGAAATAAAGGTTATTATCATTATTAATTAAAGATCTGCGATTCCGCGATTTTCTAAAGACGAGTCCCGGAATCCCGGGATTGTCCATATTTGAATCCCGGGATTAGGTTATGTATTTATTTTAGGTCTAAGAGTTGTAAGAATGAGCTTAAAGGATATCCGGAAAGCAGGGTTTTCATGTAAATGTATATATATTATGAGCGGCAAGCTCAGCTAAGTCAGACGCGAATAAATCTCTGTTCAGTTAAAAAATCTTAAAGTATTAAAAAAGCATTCCTTACAGTTAGAAAGTAGTGTCAGTTTAAAGTACAAGGGAAGAAGTGTGTGTGTGTACATTTCCAGTCCATTCTGTGCGGATTTACCAGTAATATAATATAAAATATTATCGTGAATTGTGTTGCACAATCTTTGAGAGAGGGCAAGCTTATAAGTAAAGATCCATTTCGACCAACAAATTTATTAACATTTTGTCTTTGGAGTTTTGGATTCCTTATTTCGACACAATTCGTCAGTCAACCGATAGCGTCGGCAGTATTACTACTGCCAAGTACTCATCAAGTCTTCGGTTCGAGCCTCGGCGCCTACGAATCACCATTTCGTGATTTTTTGTTTTTTTTTAAATTTAAATATTTTTTTTTTTATTTTACTTGCCTCTGAATTTCATAACTATGGAGCGCAAAGGGAAGAATCAGAAATGTTGCGCATGTCCGAACCTTATATCTGACAGACGTTTCATTAAATGTTATTTGTGTAAACAAATATATGATCTGGAATGCGCTAATGTCTCAGAAAAGAGATTTCTTTTAATGACTAATGAGAACAAGGATACCTGGAGCTGTGATCTATGCCGATCTCGTCGTCCTAAAGGTGACAATACTAACACACCTGTTCGGGGGGTTGTACGAGAGGGAGTTGTCATATCTGACGACGAGGAAACCAATGTAACCCATCGTATTAAGACTACATGTTCCTGTGTATCTATGGATGATATAAGGAAAGTTATGAGATCGGAACTACAATTATCGATGGAACGGCTTTATGAAGAGAACAAAGCACAACTACTTGAAATGAAGGGACTGATTCAGGATTTTCAGGAATCCCTGACTTTCTTTAATAAGGAGTTTGAGCATCTAAAAGCTGAATGTACTGCACAAAAGGATCGGACTGAAATGGTTAGGAGAGAGAATGAACAGTTGAAAGCATCCAATCTAGAGGTACAGACTAAGGTGAGGATTTTGGACCAACAACTACGTGCTGCAAACCTTGAGATACACTGCGTCCCTGAGAATAAGCAAGAAAATCTTACTTCAGTTGTACATCAACTAGGTAAAATCATAGACTGCCAAGCAGATGAATCCGATATTCAGTACTGTTCGCGTATAGCTAAGATGGACTCTAAGAGCACTCGCCCTAGAAGCATTTTAGTAAAATTTAGTAACCAAAATAAGCGGGACGACTTTTTGAAATCTGCCATTCAATTTAATAAAAAGAAGCAAGCTGAAGACCGTTTGAATAGCTCTCATTTGGGGATAGCTGGTAAAAGAACTGCGATTTTCATATCAGAACATTTATCATTGGAAAACAAACAGCTGCATGCTTCTACACGCATCCGAGCGAAGGAACTGGGTTACAAGTTTATCTGGATCCGTAACGGAAAAATATTTGTTAGGAAAACGGAAGAGGACAATCATGTTTATGTGCGAAATGTAGATATTCTTAATAGTTTGTCTTGATCTCGTATTAGATATTACTATGTAATTTTAGTTCATGACTTTGTAATAAATTTCTATAAAAATGGCTAATGTAAGAACTAAGCATAATGTAACTAATTTGAAGATTGGCTTATTGAATGTTCGCTCTATAAATACTGGGTGGGATGATTTAAAGGAGTCAATTATATTTCATGACTTTGATATTATCTGTTTAACTGAGACTTGGCTTAAACATGATTCAAATACCAGACACCTTGCTATCCCGGGGTACAAATTTTTGCATAAACCTCGTAATTCTAGGGGTGGTGGAGTCGGTGCGTATATTAGGGGAAAATTGCGTGTTAAAGTCTTACAACACCCGGTGGGAGAACTCGAGCAGCAGTGGATGTCTGTGAGTGTGAAAAATCATAGGATTATGGTAGGAATAGCTTATCGTCCAGAGAAAATCAACCGCAGCATAGCTGTTCAATGTTTGGCTAATTCGTTGTCTTTGTTTGCTCCCCAACACGAGTTCTTATTTTTGGTGGGCGACCTTAACATTAACTGTATCGATACTAATCATGACATTATATTACCATCTTGCTTGATGGATCTTGTAGATTCATATAAGCTCGTGCAGGTGGTTAACCAACCGACACGGATAACGCACAACTCGGAATCACTAATTGATCTAATATTAACTCGTAACTCGTTAAGACCTCGAAGTATTACAGTCATTCATAACGATGATCTGAGTGATCATGGATTGGTAATAGCCGAATTTCCCATAGAAATAGAAAAACTCAAACCACGGTTCATGACCTCCAGATCCATCAATAGTAACAAAGCAGAGATAAATGCAGCTGCCGAGTATACTCCATGGGAATTCGTAACTTTGTACAGTAATATTAATGATATGGTGTCGATGTTTAATATACTCATTCTAGATCTTTTTGATACATTCGCTCCTGAACGTACTTTTAGAGTTAACCGTCCACCTTGCCCTTGGATGACTGATGTACTTCGTAGAGTAAAAAAAGAACGCAATCGTGCATGTACAAAAGCTAAAATATTAAAATCGGATTCGGCTAAACAGTATTACCGTACTATTCGTAATTATTATAACTTTGCAATAGCACAAGAAAAGCGAGCATATTTCAATCAATTTGTTAATAAAAATCAAAATAAGCCTGGTATTATGTGGAGACACATAAACAATATATTTAAACCTAATCAAGAAAATTCAATCCCCGTTCATCTAAACGATGCAAATGCACTCAACAAACACTTTTCAGATTCTATACCATTAGTACCAGGAGATAATGACGAGTTGAATAGGTTTAAATCTTGCCGGCGCACGAGCAATGTGTTTGAGTTTCTCCGTGTCAGTGAGTCGGAAATAGAAAATATCGTCGCTAAAATGTCTTCTAACTCTCGGGGATGTGACGGTATATCGATGTGCATGATACAGTTAACACTGCCTTACTCTATGATTGCTTTATCTTCCATAGTAAATAAATCATTGCAAGATGGCGTCTTTGCCGATGATTGGAAATGTGCATTGATTACTCCCATTCCAAAAAAGACAAAAGTTGAGTGTGTCGATGATTTGCGGCCTATAAGCATACTTCCGGCCGTTTCTAAAATAGTTGAAAAGTGTGCTTTAACGCAAATAAACAAATTCATTGAGAAGGAAGATATATTACCAAGTTTTCAATCGGGATTTCGCTCAAAACATAGTACATGCACAGCGTTACTGAATATAACAGATGACATTCTTTCTGCATCTGATCACGGTTTGGGTACCATAATGGTATTACTGGATTTCAGCCGTGCATTTGATTCGGTAAATTTGGAACTATTGTTGGCCAAGCTTAGGTACTTTGGATTTGGTGACGTTGCTTGTAGCTGGTTTGACTCTTACTTGTCAGGTCGCTCACACATGGTACGATGTGTAAAAAATGACGGCGGGTTCGAGATATCAGATCCGATGGCTATCACAAGGGGGGTGATTCAAGGTTCCATATCCGGTCCTACGCTGTTTGCATTATATACATCTAGTATCACTGAAGTTATTGATAATTGTCGGTATCACCTTTATGCAGACGACACACAGCTTTATGTTCACACCAACCCTACTGTGAGCGGTGTGTCGTCGGCCGTGAGTCAACTAAATAGGGATCTTCAGGCCATCGCCGAGTGGTCTAACAGGCACTGTCTAATGCTAAACCCAACAAAAAGTGTCCAAATTATTTTAGGTACTAAAAATCAAGTGGAATCTATCAAAAGTGTACAAGTAAGCGTAAGTTTAAACAATGTGCCTATACCCCGGGAAAGCTGTGTTCGGAATCTAGGTCTGTACATGGATGAAAATCTTAGGTTCGAGAATCATGTTGGGCGAAAGGTTGGCCATTGTTTTGGGTCGCTCCAGACTCTGTATAAACTGAATCGATTTTTATGTACAAATGTTAAATTACAACTATGTAACTCCTTAGTTTTATCGCACCTACAATATTGTGATATTGTATTTGGTCCGTGTTTGCTTGCAAAGACTAAGCAGCAAATTCAGAGGGTACAGAATGCTTGCATGCGATTTTGCTTCCCAATAAAAAAGAGGGATCATATTACTCCCCACTTGGTGCGTAGCGGGGTTCTGAATATGGGCGGAGTAAGGGATTTGAAATATGTTTGTTTTTTGTATTCCTTGCTTAAAATAAATATACCGGAATATTTGGCTAGTAAGTTAAAATGGAGGACTCGTGGTAGTAATTTGAGGGACACTGGCCTGCGTCTGTCTCTGCCTTTATTTAGAAATGCTGTTGCTAGGGGACGTTTTGTATTTGCCGCTTCGAAAATATGGAATGACTTGCCTCCTCCTTTGCGGCAAAGTCTTATAATATCCGAAAGCAGTTTTAAGCAAAGGTGTAAACGGTGGTTCCTTGAACAACAACACGAGGCGGCAAGTACAAAATATGATGCTGTTTAATCAGTAACGACAAAGATGAGAAAACTTTTATGAATTAATGTCATAACATAATATATCATTAAACTAAGAACCTTCAAAAATATAACGTAATAACTAAAACTAAAAAAAAAAACTGCTGTTTAATTATTGTAGTAATTAAAACTAAATTATTGTCTCGACTTGCTGATATTGTCCGTATTAATGTGTTTTTTAGAAAATAATAATTGTGAGGTGGTGGCAGAATACCAGCGACAAGTCAAAACTTGACTGTCACATGCTGAGCCACATACCTTTTTGTTTCAATTTTTTACTGTCATTCTATTTGTGTATTGTACCAATTGTATGTTGAAACAAATAAATAATTTATTATTATTATTATTATTATTATTATATGCATATGTATATATCTCGATCACTTATTAAATTTTACTTATCGTCCTTACTGATAGTAGACATTGGATTTATCTACATAAAAGATAAAGGTAGTGATATCAAACATGATTTTATATAATAGATTTAACAATTTCAATAAACAACAATAATAATAAATAAATAATAATAATACTTATTAAATAAACAAATAATTCCAAATTATGGACCAGATATTATTTTGTACGTTTTAGTTCCATTTTGGATTTTGAAGTCGGTTTTATTTTTTTCATTAAATTTTTTTTATTTCATCCATTTTAGTGAAAATTACATCGTCCAAGTAAACAATAACACAATTGACGGAGACATCGGTGAACATGCATAAAAAAACATCGTGCGCGCCTTTGAAAATTGAAGGTTTCCCTCGATTTTGCCGCATTCCACCATCAGATCCTGACTTGGTTCCAATGGGACCACCTCGGAAGTGCACATTTTCGAATAAAAAAAAAGATTTTGGAAATCCGTTCACAATTGACAGACAAATCGGTGAACATACATAAAAAAGAATATACAGTCGAACACAAAACCTCCTCCTTTTTTGAAGTCGGTTAAAAAATGTGGTTGTATAATGCGATTCAACTAAGAATAGGACCTACTAGGGCGCCATTTTGTCACGTCATAGCTGTCAATTCAAACTAAATAGGTAGAGTGAGCAAAAAAAGTTTTTATTAGTAAACTTATTTACTAAGATTGAGAAAAAAAAACCTACGATTTTTAAAAATATTTATTTATTAATACTGTGAGCAAAAACATGAAACAGAATCTAGCTCTTCTATTCCGTTCATCTCTGCATTACCGCCTATGTAGTAATGAATAATCATGCACTATTACTAGGTCACACACGAACAAGCATCCTTTATGTAAACGAAAGTTTGAAATCGAGGTTGTGAACGCAACTTAAAATGACATTTGGTTGACCATTTATGTTATCAACCATTCATGGCAAAAGCTAAATAAGTGAAAAAAAAAAATATCAACCGATATTAATTATCAATATTTTTTATTGTTTGTTTACAAATGTTTGGTTTTTATTCTTGAATTGGGGGAGTGCTAAAAAAGGGTTCCAAGTTTTTTTTTTGCCAACCGTACTTTTCAAGCGACATTTGACAGATAGAGGTCATTGGCCTTCCTATTCTTATTTGAAACGCATTATAATATCCTATTTCACAGGTTTTCACAGTCGGTGCAGTGTTTCGCGCCGAGGACTCCAACACCCATCGCCATCTCACAGAATTTGTGGGCTTAGATCTTGAGATGTCATTCAAACACCATTACCATGAGGTTCTGGACACCATAGGGCAGACCTTCACAGATATGTTCCGAGGACTTAGGGATGAGTGAGTAAAAATATGGTCGTTTAGTATTTTTTCAGTTTCATCCTATTAATGTCCCCACTACTGGGGCACAAGCCGTCCCTATGGATGGAATAGGGAGGGTGGGTCGTGACCCACCACGCGGTCCCAGTGCGGATTGGCGGGTGCTAACGACTACAGATGCAGCCGGGACCAACTGCTGAGGCTGCATTCCGAAACATGGAGGAACTCGAGATAGTAAGTTTTTGGTCACCCATCCAATGACCGACCACTGCGAAAGTTGCTTAACTTCAACGATCGCAGCCGAACGCGCTAACCACTTGCGCCATCCTTCTCACGGACACTTTCACCATAGTCGCCTTTGTAATCGTTTAAAATCAAAAATATTTTTTCAGTTTAGGCCATAGAGCAACACAGCCTACGCGGCTAGGAGGGGAGTAGCTATAGTGACATAATACTACTGAAATCATTCTGCCGCTTCATAAAAACAAAAAAATAAAAATAAAAATCACACTAACATTATAAAGGTGAAAGTTTGTGAGTATGTGAGTGTGTATGTTTGTTACTTCTTCACGTCTAAACGGCTGGAGCGATTTTAATAAAATTTGGTATGGAGTTAGCTGACACCCTGGATTCACACATAGGCTTTATTCCGAAAAAATGTTAGGTTCCAGAGGGATTTTCAAGAAACTAAGCAACAACGCAGACGAAGGCGCGGGCGACCTCTAGTATGTATATAAATAATAAATAAAAAAAAAATTACTGATTTTTTTTTTGTTTTGCGGGGGGAGGAAAATGTTGTGTTCAAATGCGTTAAATTAATAAACATTGATCAGATACCTGTAAAAAAATGATACTTATATCGTACTATAAATATTTTTTTCGCATTATTTCACGGAGCTCAGCGCATTTTGACTTTTCAACGGTCCGCGCGTGACTGTGAACCAAGAAGTGCTTGAGTGGTGTTCAAGCACTTCTTGATTGGGTCACATTTTGAGCGCTCGTGGTGTATCTAGGGTATTTAATATCGCGGTACTGAAATAGGTGTGATTTGTTAGATTAATAAATTACTAGAAAACCAGTGAACCAAATTTTCACCAAAACCTGATTTAAAAAAAAAATGTATTTAATCAATTGAGAACTTCGGAGATTTTGTGTGGTTTCGATTGAAATTCGTGATTTCTCGAAAACCGGACGTGCTACGTTACTCAAATCCGGTTTGTAGTCTTATCAGACTATTCTTAACTTATAACTTAAATATTCTCTTTATCTTTCTCTTACGGTTTGGCCGCTGAAACAGCACCACAGACAGACGGACGGACGGACTTGTCTAATAGATAAGAGATAAATAATCATTTATTTCTCTTCAGGTTTGCCTCAGAAATAGCAACTGTTGGCCAACAGTACAGTGTTGAACCATTCAAATTCCTCGATCCTCCGCTGAGACTGGAGTTCCCTCAAGCCATACAAATGCTGAAGGAAGCTGGTAAGGAATAATTTAATGAAGATCTGCCATGTCAAATTGCTAAATATTTTATATATAGACGACCTCCGTGGTCGAGTGGTTTGTACGCCGGGTTTCATGGTGTCGCCGACTCGAGAGGTCCCGGGTTCGAATCCCGGTGGGGGCAGATGTTTGTGTGATGAATACGAGCATTTTTACTCCAGTCATGGATGTTTAATATGTATTTCTATATAAATATAGTTATATATGTACTGTATATGTATTCTATCCGTTACCCTAGCATCCCATAACACAAGCCTTACAGTGCTTACTTTGGGGCTACGCTAATTGGTGTCTGTTGGAATTATATAAATGTATTTTTTCCATTACCTTAAAATTTTTGTTTTTTAAAATAAAATTCTGGAACAATGTTAGGAACATCTAGAACAACTTAGAACATTCAATAAAATATTGAATTTCCAAAAGTGGGGGGCTATCATACAAAAATAGATGTTTTTTGTCTAGTAATAAGTTTAAAGTGCGTATAAAAACTTGTCTCCTTAAGAAAGGCTACTATACAATTAAAGATTTTATAAATGATAAGGCACCTTGGGCTTAATATAATAGACTAAGTCGTTTTACTTTGCTAATTTGGTTGAAAATTGTTAATTATACTTAACTTATTGTTAATTAATAATATTAATGTGATGAAATATGACATCAACACATGTTTTTAGTTTTTGATGTCATCTTTCAATTGACGACACCGTATGAAACAAAACAGGGAGAAAACAATAGCCCTTGCTTAGTTTCTTGCCGGTTCTTCTCAGTACAAGGTCTCCCGCCGTAGTTTTACGAACCGATGGCGTAGCGTTTGACTTTCACAAGAGCTTGTAACAGCCTAGACTGAATAAATGAGTTTGAGTTTAGTAGCTTCAAATTTTAGTTTTTTTTTTCAAATAAACTTTGGCTCAGTGTAGAACAAACATAGAACAATCCAGAACAACCTGGATAATAAAAAATGTGTGCGTGTACTAGTGTATCCACGTAAGAAGTGAAACTTCTTTATGGCCTTATTTTTCGAAAAATGATGTACATGCAACTTTCCAGAAATTGGTTAAATAAAGTTAAATTAGATAAAGTTTAAACAAAAGGATTTTATTATCATAGACATGAATACAAACAAGATTTCATTTCATTTCATTTATATGTTCATCGTCGTTGTTATTACCAAAAAAAAGAAGGCGCGTAACCAAAAAATGTGACGCGTAACCGAAAAATGTGACGGTAAATTTTTTTCCAACGCCGATAAAGAAGTTTCACTTCAATAACGTTCATAAAATGGACTAACTTCCCTGAGGTGCTGTGTTAATGTAATTTTTTTCTTCGTAAGGTGTGACGTTAGGTGAAGAAGACGATCTATCGACTCCTGATGAGAAGTTACTAGGAAGATTGGTGAAAGCCAAGTATGACACTGACTTCTATATGCTGGACAAATATCCTTTGGCTGTCCGCCCGTTCTATACTATGCCTGATCCTAATAACCCGGTGAGTAAAGAGTGTAATTTTAAATATTATTTATAGTAGAATCTTCGAATATATAAAATTCTCGTGTCACGGTGTGCGTAATTGAACTACTCCGTAACGGCTCGACCGATTTTCGTGAAATTTTATATGCATATTGTCGTATGTAAAAGAAAAAGAATGTGGTTTGTGATCGGTTTGTAAATGGAAAAATAAATGGAATGGAAATATTTTACCTTACTTTACTATTTAATGGTACGGAATCTCCTTACATACGAGCAAGTGTTATTTCAGCTAATACCCAGCTGATAAGGTACCGGGATAAAACTCTCGGTTACAGCAATGAACTATTGAAGTACAAAGGCCGTAGCTTGGGAAAACAAATCAAAGATGGTGGTTTTCGTTACATGCAATTTATATCATATAATCTTGCGAATTACATGGCGGCGGCCCGCAGCGAAACAATGATTCTTATAGTATAATACCAATAATGGTATGTAAAAATCTATCGACCCAAAAAGTCACTTAAGTCCAGATGGGAGACGTGGCGACGAGAAAACATGCGCGCGCTCGCGAAAAAAAAGAAAATACGTGAGCTCACGGTTTGTCACACGTCACTGATGGTACCAAGTTCCCTCGTTGAACGAAGCGACGGTGGCGGTGATGCCTCAGGACGTCACCCCTTGACGTCACAGCATGCTGCACCCTGATGGTGGGGTCCTCAGCAGGAAGCACGCAGGCGGAAGGAGCTCATGGCCATTTGAGCACACCGGCGAAGCCGAACACTCGAAGAGTCGGAGGGCGTGGGTGACCACATGTCACACCACGCACGAGAGATTATATTTCACTGACTATATGAACTACACAATGGATATTTCTAGTAAGGGCAGAAGGCCAGAAAAAAAAAAATGGTTGCCTGTAAAGTCGGTTTTACGGGCGAAGATTTTACGTGACAACGTCTTTTTCTCGGTAGAATATTTATTGATATGAATATAATTAAATTGCACAATAGGAACAAGGAATTGAATGAAAATAAGAATTGCACAAATTTTAACTATAGAAATATATTTTGTTTACTAAAACATTGTACATGTAAACTTAAACTTAACACGAGAGACTCATCGTAACGTTACCGAGCGTTACACTTTTTCATAAGTGACTCCCAGCCGCAACCTAATTTAAGACGTTGTCACGTCAAAAAGAGTACTTTGTTTGGTAATCAAAAACATCCATAATTGATAATTTTATGTTTAATAATCAATGAGCAATCACAGTGTGATTGTTTATCGGATGCCAATTGCATCGATAAAGGTTTCTCATGCGCGCAGGCAAATACGTCACTTGACGTTTGGTTTTGTTTTTTTATTCAAAATGTGATTTTGATATTTATTGAAAACAAGCCGTGAAATGATATGAGAATAATTTTCTGAATGCAATGATACCATTAAATCGTAATTTGGTTCGGTTTTTATAAAGATATTACGATAAACACTTTTTACAATGAAATATTATTTATGATCGTGTTTTCAGACACAGCAATGATTCCAGGAATGAATTAGTAGACGAAACATAATCAAGGATGTATGTTCGATCGTAATTAATGGTTGTTAAATTGTGCTATTATTTCATAACTTATGTACCTATTGTTGACATATTATTTGCGTGATCGCCGGTCTGTGACGTCACGTCGTCAAAGAAAAGTCGTGTACCATACGACAATATTCAGTTGGTCTGAGAATCGGACAACATCTATTTTTCTTCCCCCTATATGTTATGGTGGTGCAACCTTAAAAAAAAATTTATGTGGACAAAATTTTTTGGTTTTATTTTTTTTATGATACATCATTCAAAAATACATAATCCCTAAATTTTCACCACCAATCCTTATTGTTTATGGCGGTGCGAAGTTCGCTGGCTCAGCTAGTATATATATAAAATGAAAATCATTTAGACTCAGGTGCCAACATGATTAATTAAGCCTCAATTTGCTATATTATCAACCACCACAAAATGTTTCAAATTAATCTAATCTCATCATCATTATCAGCCTATTAAAGTACCCACTGCTGGGGCACAGGCCTTCCCTATGGATGGAATAGGGAGATTGGGCCATGACCCTCCACGCGGGCCGAGTGTGGTTTAGCGGGTGCTAATGACTGCAAATGCAGCCGGGACCAACGGCTTAACGTGCCTTCCGAAGCACGGAGGAACTCGAGATTTTTGGTCACCCATCCAATGACCGACCACTGCGAAATATTAACTTCAACAACCGCAGCCGAACGCGCTAACCACCTGCGTCATCGAGCTCCTCACTCAATCAATCACAATTAATCTGATCTAAAATAGTATAAAAATCTAATAAATGTTACTCTATCAATGCCTGTGGGTTTTATCACTTTTTTTTTATTTTTATGCTAGATTTTTCAAAACATTTTTTCAAATGTTTATTTTAATTGACGACCTCCGTGGCCTACTTGAGAGGTCGCGGGTTCGAATCGCGGTGGAGGCAGATGTTTGTGTGATTAATACGAGCCTTTGTACTCCAGTCATGGATGTTTATTATGTATTTCTATATAAATATACTTAGATATGTATATATCCCATAACACAAGCCTACAGTGCTTTTTTTGGGGCTAGGCTAATTGATGCGAATGTTGAAAATATTTTTATTTATTTATTTACAGAAAGTGTCAAATTCTTACGATATGTTTATGCGAGGCGAAGAGATACTTAGTGGAGCTCAGAGGATTCACGACCCCGAATTCTTGACTGAGAGGGCCAAGCACCATGGTATAGGTGAGAATAACACAGTATATCATTACCATAATATTTCAACACAAACAATTTTCATCAAATAAAACACACCATGGTATAATTGAGAATAACACAATATATCATTACCATAATATTTCAACACAAACAATTTTCATCAAATAAAACACACCATGGTATAGGTGAGAATAACACACACAATATATCATTACCATAATATTTCAACACAAACTATTTTCATCAAATAAAACACACCATGGTATAGTTGAGAATAACACAATATATCATTACCATAATATTTCAACACAAACAATTTTCATCAAATAAAACACACCATAGTATAGGTGAGAATAACACACACAATATCTCATTACCACAATATTTCAACACAAACAATTTTCATCAAATAAAAGAAGTTTCAACAGTATATATTTATTTATTTTATTTTTTTATTTATTAGGACCACCAGAGCAAGTTGCACTAAATCTTATTTTTAAACATTATAATGATACATACAAAATTCTATTGAAGGTCATGCTAAAGAGACAGTACGAACGGACCGGGTTTTAATTAAATAAACAAACAGACAAACTGAAACAAGATATGAATAATGAAATGAAAAGATGCACTGATTTATTTATTTATTGATGTTTCGCATCCTTTTTTCACAATTCTGACGACGCAGCCTGAAAATGATGCGAAACGTCAATAAAAAAATGATGTGGTGTCGTGGGACACCAGGTAGGAACGAAGTTGAGTATATACTATGCATTGGCGGGGTGGAGTGGTAATAGAAAGAGAAGGGATGAGAGAACGAAAAGAAAGAGGGAGAAAGAGAAAGGTATTATACACTACTCGCTTGTGTATGCGACTGTCGCGCCTGCGCACGTCTCATTTAACGGTTTTATTCCACGCACTTTTTTCCACGGATTTTTTCTTACGGTTTTACTATCACATTTTTTTCAGTTCGGTCACGCAGCAAAATCCCTATCCCCTCCAAGCCTGCCGTAAGGAACTTCGTTCCAATAAATAAATAAATAAATCAGTGTATCTATAACGTTGAAACTTGTTTTATTTAATGAGTCATGTGCGTAAAAACCTAAGAAATAATTTTCATCAATTTTATCTCCAACAACTGTACCGGATGTCGATTCTTCTAAGCTAAAGTTAAACTCGTGTTTCAAAAGTGGTTTAATTTTACCTATCGTAAATCAATGAACAAAATGTGAAATACCAAAATGTACTTATATACCTACCTAACAAAAATAGGTTTTGATTTTTTGAGTCGGTCACTAAAGTGTTGTCGTCAATGACAATATACAGATATCATTAACTATATAATTAGTTATAAAACTTGTAATTTATCTAGTGTCACTATTGTATCACTAAAGTGTTGTCATTAATGATATTGTACAGATATCATTAACTATATAAATAGTGATATATAACTAATAATTTATCTAGTGTCATTAATGATATTCTACAGATATCATTAACTACATACAATACAATACAAAACACTTTATTGTACACCACAGGAAACATTATAATAAATACAGAGCCATTTAAAACAAGTGTAATAATGGGCGGCCTTATTGCTAAAAGCGATCTCTTCCATACAACCTTTGGATAAAGAGGATTAGTAGGAAGTGGGAGAGACGGCGTTATAAATTTCAAATGTAATTTATTAAAATATATAATTATACATACATTAACGAATACACATATAGTATATTTTCATAAATATAAACATGTACATATATATAATTAGTGATATAACTAGTTTTTTATCTAGTGTTACTAATGATGTAATTTTTGGCACATTAATTATATCGTTAGTGAGCCCGACTGATTTTATTGCTAATACATAACAAATGGTATACCAATTTTCACCCTGTTAAACAGTGAGCTCAGTCCCTGTAGCATGAGCACCTTAATTTACATTAAATCACGTTTTTTATCGCGTCTAACTGTCAAAATTCATAGTAATTTGACAGTTGAGCGTAATAAAAACGAGTTATATATCATATCGCGGTGCTAATGCTAGGGGGTATACAAACCACCATATGTCCTTTCCCGGGATTTAAACTATTTATATGCCAAATTTTATCTAAAGCGGTTCAGAAGTAAAAACTTCCAGTCCCATTTTCACTCTGTTAAACAGTGAGCTCAAGGATACCAACCGTCCTATGACCTTTCCCGGAATTCAAACCTTACTACTATTTAAATGCCATATTTCATCTAAATCGGTTCAGTAATTTAAGCATGTAGAGGTAACAGACATACACACTTACTGGCCTTTCCCGGGATTCAAACCATACTACTATTTAAATGCAAAATTTCATCTAAATCAGTTTAGTAATCAGTAATTTAAGGTAATTTCAGGTTCAGTAATTTAAGCGTGTAGAGGTAACAGACAGACACACTTACGTATTTATAACGTATGACGTAAGACGATAGTAAAAAATAAACCAACATAAAACCTGACGCAGCGCCATCTATCGGAAATTGTTAGTTTAGTTATCTTAAATTTTCATTCGTAAGAACCATACAACAGACGTGTTTTATTGCCGTTTTTGATACGGAACCCTTCCGGTTTTCTAATACCTACTTTGTGAAAGGTTCTTACGGAGAAAGAGTATGAACAGACAATTAGATGAAACTTAACTCCGATAGATGGCGCTGCAGCTTTTTCTTTTAAAAATAAGTTTTTATGATTTTATTTATTTTTTAAGCATTTAACTGCTAGATGTTTGTGGGTGACCTACAATGCGAAGAGATGGCGCTGCCTTGCAGCTTAACGCTAGGAAAATTTCGACGCGGCTAATAGGGCCGTGGTAGCATAATGGTCAGTGCATTCGCCCGGATAGCGAAGGATGCGGGTTCGAGTCCCGTCCGCTGCCTGGTCCGCGTGGATTTTTTTCTAATAAGTTTTTAATTATTATTTTCGTATTTACAGATATCAGTAAAATAGCAGCGTACATAGAATCGTTCCGTCTGGGTTGCCCTCCTCACGCTGGTAAGTAATATCTCAAAATATTTACCTATAGAAAAACATTTTTGACGACCTCCATGGCCGAGTGGTTTGTACGCCGGGTTTCATGGTGTCGCCGACTCGAGAGGTCCCGGGTTCGAATCCCAGTGGAGGCAGATGTTTGTGTGATGAATACAAGCATTTGTACTCCAGTCATGGATGTTTAATATGTATTTCTATATAAATATACTTATATATGTACAGGATATGTATTCTATCCGTTACCCTAGCATCCCATAGCACAAGCCTTATAGTGCTTACTTTGGGGCTAGGCTAATTGGTGTGAGTGTTGGAAATAATTATTTATTTTACTAGTAAAATATCCACGCCGCCCAAATAGCGAAGGGTGCGGGTTCGAGTCCCTCCTGCTGCCTGGTGTCTCTGGTTAGATATTTTATCAAGCATTCGACTACTAGATGTTTAAATCTAAAGAAAAATGCTAGAAAAAAATCCGCGCGGATCAGACTGCAGACGGGACTCGAACCCGCATCCTAAAAAGTAAAATTTTCTTTATAATTAGTTTTAGTTGAATCGAGATGTAGCAATTTTGATGCAAGTGGAATTTAGCAATGAAACCAATTAAGTTGTACTAGCAAACCAGTGAACCAAATGTTCACCAAAAAAAAAAAATAAATAAAAAAAATAAATGTATTCAATTAATTGAGAACTTCGGAGATTTTGTGTGGTTTCGTTTGAAATAGAAATCATGTGATTTCTCAAAAACCGGAAGTGCTACGTTACTCACATCCGGTTTGTAGTCTTATCAGACTATTCTTAACTTATAACTTAAACATTCTCTATATCTATCTCTTACGGTTTGGCCGCTGAAACAGCACCACGGACGGACGGACGGACTTGTCTATTAGATAAGAGATACCAACTAGTGGATGCCTGCGATTTCGTCTGCGTGGAAATAATTATTTCCCATACAAACTTCTTTTCATTTTTCCCTCCTTTTCACCCCCTTCTAAGATTATTTCTGGGAAAAAACCATTCAATGTTTTTCCCTGGGACTCAAATTAAATGTATAACAAAATTTCATCTAAATTTGTTCAGCAGTTAAAGAGTGATGAGGTTACAGACAGACAAAACACACTTACGTATTTATAATACTAGCCACCGCCCGCGACTTCGCTCGCGTTAAATTTAGTTATATGAAAATTCTTCAGGAACCTAACATTTTTCGGAATAAAGACTATCCTATGTCCCAATCCAGATAATGACCTAGATGGTAATTGAGTTACAAACATAGAAATTTACAATATATATTTTCTTTTCTTAGGCGGAGGTATCGGAATGGAAAGGGTGGTAATGTTATATTTGGGATTGGACAACATTCGCAAGACTTCCATGTTCCCGCGCGACCCTAAAAGAGTGACGCCTTAGTTTCATTAATGACACCCTAGTATTGTCATTAATGATGAATTCTTCAATGATATAGTGATTGCTGTGAGGCTGGCAATTATAGTGACGCCCCTAATGATTTCATTAATGATACTTTTGTATCACTAAATTGATGTCATTAATGACAATATCATTAACTATATAATTAGTGATATAACTAGTAATTTATCTAGTGTTATTATTGTATTACTAATTATGTCATTATTTGGCGCATTAATTATATATTTAGTGAGCCTGACTGATTTTATTACTAACACTTAACTGATGTCATTAGCAGCGTCACTGAGTTCTCTTAGTGATATCATTAAATGCCTACTCAGAGACGTGACAATCAAAATAAAAAAAGAAAATTTAATTAACACAAATAATATTTATATAAGAGAGACTTGTGTATGTACCGTTTTATAAATAACTGTAAAATATAATGATTTCTAATTGCATTTAGCGTTTTATTTAAAGTAATGCTTCATTTAAATGAACTTATTGCATTTGCGTGCCCTTCGAGAGGCCACAGTGAAAAACATAGGTTTCGTATAAATAAAGATTTAGCAGGATCTTAAAAAATCGTAGTCAGATGGATAAATTTGTAGCTGTGACAGTACAGTAAATTTTGAGCATGTAAGAACTGTGGGCCCACTCAACAGAGTTCAAAGGAGATTGCTCAAATTGGCCCAAATGCACAAAAAATTTTACAGTCATTAGATTTTAACGGACACCTTTGTATAATATATTCATTTTAAAAAGGACTTTTCATTTTACCGGTTTGGAAAATATACGAATCATTTTTAATGGCTATGGGCGTAGTAACATTCAGCCAAAGACTGATCGAAGTTGTTTATATAACATCAAAACAAATCTATTTTGTAAAGATAAATAAAATATCCACAAGTAAATTATCATTTTTACTAAATGTGCTAAGACAAATATTATAGATGGTAGGCGACATCATAAAGTTTATTGCCATACATTTTTCGCCAAACACCTCCATAAACACATTATAAGGTGTGATACACTAAAAATATAAAATATGATTATAATAAACATAACAAAACTAATGAAGCTGCTGAAGATATGGCTGTATAACCTAAATCTCTTAGCTTTCTTTGGTTAACGAGTTTAAAAATGCTTTCTAATCTGTGGCTCATTCACAATCATCACACAGTTACTGTCACAGAGTACCTTATAACCGGAAATGCATAGATTATACCTGATTTTAAAAGTTACTCTTATGCATTAACTTTAAAAACAGGCAACTATCTGTTAATCTACATGCTCTATATACCTGAATCTAATACATAATTTCGGTACTTGGCTTGATTTCCCTAGTTTACTATATAACTTATTTGTTTTTTACTATTTTAATACCTATGTACCTATTTGCAAACATAACCTCAAAATCGTTCAGTGTATATGGTTTATAGAAGTTCTCAGGGGTGTCCGACAGTAATATTCGTTTCTACAGTAATTTATATATAATTTCGAATCTAGGAAACAATTTTTCATGATTATTGGTCTTTAGGCCAAATATGTATGGAAGCTGAGCAATCTCCTTTATCCTTCTGGCTACAATTTTTTTAAAGGTCCTGCTAAAGTTTTATTTATAGGAAACCTACGTTTTCCACACACCGCACATCTTAATCCTCATATTTATAATTCAAACAACATGTCAATGGTTGTGTTGTGCAGGATTACAATTTAGGAATTTCAAGTCTTGACATAAATGCTGACATTTCGAAAAAAGTCCGGACTTTTTAGTCACAAAATAGTACCATTACTCAGTTACAATGGTATGGTATTTAAATCAATATGCACTTTTATTATTCATATTCAAAGTAATTTAAAAAGTCCGGACATTTTAAAGATCCGGATAAAGTCCGGACTATAGTCTAAAAGTCCGGATTAATCCGGACGGATGGTAACGCTCGTTATGTGGCTATGGAGAAGTATACGCAAAGCTGGACATAGATGGCGCTGCAAACGCTTGACCCAAACCACAGCGGAATATTGCAGCTTTCAAATTTTAAAAGTGGTTTTTGTTGTTAAAATAGCAAGTAGGTGGTGAAAATGTATTCAACATGGTCTGTAATATAGCTGAAAACAGAGTTAAAAAGGAGAGGAGCATCTGTGCAAGGCAGAAAAGCTGATCTAGTAGAAAGGTACTCTTTCTATTATTATGCTAGAATGCTCATTCTCGGTACAAAGATGCATTTTCCATGATTATTTTGGTATCACGGATCACAGTAACTTTTAGCGGGCTCATTAGACAAATCTATCTTATTTTTGCATCAGTCAGACATCTCATAGAGTTAGGTTACCTCTGGCTAAAATGGGAAGTATAACATTGGGTTTTTTAAGGACTTGAGGCATATGTCCGCAATTTTAATTTTGGTGCTATTTTTCCTGATCAAAATGAAGACATCTAGATGCAATTACCTGCCCCCTTACAGCGCCCCTTGTGGCCAAATTTTGCAGATTTCTTGTCCATTCTTTCGATACGGACATGTGTCTCTAAACCTAAAATTTGACCGCAGTGTATCCTTGTCATTCTCTATACAGAATGAAAAGGAGAGACTGATGTTAAATTTTAAGTTTAGAGAACCATGCCAGAATCGACACCAATGTCACTTACTATAAAAGTGTCAAAGTAGGGAACGAACAAGGAACTTTTATACTGACTGGAATGCTTACGCGACCCTCAAAATCGTTCCAAGAGCATAGCTGAATTGGGGAATCTGTCTCGTTCTAGTAGTGTGCCCAAACAGTTGCAAGAGGGTATTTTTCCCGCTTATGAAGGTAGAAACAAAAATGGACTTTATGTCTAACTGATTAGAGTACATTTTCTGAATTCCCATATTGTTCCGTAAGCATTCCAGTTAATATATAAGTTCCTTAGGAATGAAACTACAGAAAATTATGAATAATTCATTTATATTACAATATAATTCTTTCCAACGTAGGTCCTTTTCATCATCACACTCCACCCGCGGGTGGAAACACACCATCACATAACAATCTCACGTATTGACGGATCGATCAATACCTCATCAATATCAATCGCATACAAACTATTGTGACACCTTCGAAAAATGTATACATTTATTTTACAAGTCATCCTGATAAGTTAACATAATGACAAAGAGACTATTTCAATATATTATTACAGTTTTATCTTTAACACAAAAACATCAATATGATTATTGACAATATTACTGATAGTGTTGCTGATCTAGCCGTCAATATAACACTCAACATGATTGCTGAACACAAACCGAAAAATCTTATTCACTTAAAAATATAAACTTAATTTATTAATAATATTTATGAATTCATAATATCTCTTATTCGAAAAACTTAGTTTTTTTTTATCTTAAGTTTCAAATGCCATTAGCAGGGAAATCAATAGCGTTTTGCCAATTTGGCAGCGCCATTTGACAACAGAAAACAAATATCTGAAACTTTATTAGGCCCGTATTATAGAAAGATTCTCAGTGATTGATCTAGTCTTGAGCATAGTTAGAAAGGGATGTCGTTATATATATCACATAGCGACATCCCTTTCTAACTGTACCCAAGTAAAGAGCAACACTTAGTTGTCATTCTGTAATACGGGCCTGAGTGTCATGATTAAAAAAAAACGAAAAATCTGTCTTTACTTATAAGGTAAACAATTTTCACAAAATATTTTTAATAAGTAACTAAAAACAACACTAGATTTGGAAGAAAATGATGCATTACAAAAAAGAAATTAAATAATAATCATTTTCTTATTATCAAGATAACCATTTTTTTTTTCATTTACACACGTGAAAATTGTTTACTTCATAAGGCATAAAACAGACCTTCCTGATTTACCTAATTCCAAACAAAATTGTCATTGATAAAAACAATTTTAATAATCAGAAACTGAATGATCGCTTTTATTTTTTCATATTATAATTTCTAATTAATTTAATACTAAAACAGGCAAGCATTTTATATTTTTAACCAATTAAATATAATCTCAGTACCAGTTTTTCGCATATCATTAAATCAGTGGTGCTAATTACCATCTTTGATTATATACACACCGTATTTAGGGGTCATCCATAAACTACGTCACACGAATTTCATGATTTTTTGGCCCCTCCCCCCGTCCTTGTCACAGCTGGTCACATTTATGAGACTCCCCCCCTCCCTAGTGTGACGTCACATATTTTACAAAATTTAGAAATTATTGAATGTAAACAGCGGATCTGAAATTAGTTTTATTAGCACGGAAGCGGCCCAACAAATATCAACTACATATGGTAGATAATATACCCTCAACACTATATGCACACATTGACTGCTTTAAAACAATCTAACATTAGACTCACGTACACACTGCGCGTAACACGAGCCATTTTCTTTGCGTGGTTTATCTGGATCGCTCTATCTAATCATAATCAAAATCATTTATTCAGTTTAGGCTGTTACAAGCATTCATGAATGTGTAGAAGCTACGCCATCGGCGGGAGACCTTGTACTGAGAAGAACCGGCAAGAAACTCAGCAAGGGCTGTCTTTTTCTCCCTGTTTTATTATTTACAGAGTCGTCAAATTGAAAAATGACTTCAGAGATGATTCATGAAGTCACCTTTCGTTACATAATAATTAAATATATATTAATTGTTTACCTGCATTTTGATTGCTGGGTCATACAGTATAAATACAAATAGTGTTATTTATATTAAGTGTGACTAAACATTAACTTCAATATAAGGAAGTTAGGGCAGACTCATCTCCGCTGGCAGCACCCGTTCACGAGCATGACGCATGAACCAGCCATCGCTTCGCTCAACCATCACCATCTGGGCGTGTATATAATCAAATCAAAGTCTACAGTATAAAGTATTCCCTATTAAAGTAACCACCGGATAATCGTGCCAATTATCCGAATATGAGCAGTAATGTCGATGTAATAAGTGCTAAAACACGCACAATAAGTACTAAGGTCTTACAGTCGAAACGTAAGTTCTTAAAATATAGGTATTAAAGTTCAAAATCTTCAGCGCATCATTTTTGCTAATGCCATGGAGTGAATTAGAATATTTTTTAGAGGCCGTGCGTGTGAGTGGTGATTGTGACTCAAGTATATCACAAAAAAACCGACACAAAATAAACAGATACAGAAATTAGGCTGTTCTGCCCCCGTTGCATGAGCATCGCGATATGATATTCTTAGGTTGTCCGGAAGAGATCGCTTTTAGCAATAAGGCCGCCCATTGTAACACTTGATTTAAATGGCTCTGTATTTATTGTAATGTTTTCTTTGGTGTGCAATAAAGTGTTTTGTATTGTATTGTATTGATATTCATTTTATCTATCACTTTAATAGATAATAATAATGGATTTTTTGTGGGAGCCGTCCTTCTGTGTCTTGTTATTTTGTCTTTAAGATAAGTGGCCTTTCCACTCTCATTTTGGATCGATTCATCAGTTATTTTTACAACCCCTATTTACATTTACGCTGACAAAAAAAATCAAAAATATCAGCCACTAACATAGTCGTAGGAACAAAGCACCATTTTTTGTAAAGCATAAATAGTTATTAACGATTCCAAATGAATTTTTACATCTCTTATATACGCAATAATGAAGAAAACACAATTTATTATAGAGCCTCATCAGCCATAGTAACCACAAACACACAGAAAAAGGTTAGGACATAGACCGTTTGTACGGGAACCTATGTCGCCAGCTGGCCCCCACTACACTTCCAGCTAATAGATAATAGCCAATCAAACGGCGCGACATCAAACAGTCGAACCAATCAGCGTTCACAGCTGAGAGCAACGACGCAATCAGAACCAAGTTTTGGTCAAGTTATGAGCATTTGCTCACACATAACTGTGGCGCGCCTGCCCCACCCACAAGGCCTTTGTAACCCCTTTCTGTGTTTTGTGAACATGATTTTGAAAGACCTGGGGGTCTACTCTCCTTCTGCGAAACGAACATTCGATAGCGAAGTTCAAACGAAATCTGATTTCGTCAATAGGGATGATGACTAATTTTTTTTTCTTCGTTTATCAGGTACATTATCAAAAAGTATTGGACACGTATTTTTTCTTTATTCACCTAATATAAACATTGCAGAGATATATTGATTTGAAAAGTCGCATGACGTCACGCTTCGGTACAATTTTCACTTAAAAGTGACGTCACGAGCGCCTACTCCCAAACTTTGACGCGCTATAACTTTGTCATTTTTTGGTTGATTGCCCAAAGAAAAAATACGTGTCCATTATTTTTTGATCATCTAACTGACGGACCAAATAGAATTTCGTTTACTTTACCCCGTCATCATGCCTATTTAAGGTTATACTTAATTTGAACGAAAAACTATCAAATTGAAGCTTTCTTTGTGTCGGCTTAGAAAATCTACACCTCAATCCATATTTCGATGACGAATATTATTATCTTTGAAAACGAACCAGAAACATAGTAAGAAAAGTTCGAAATCTCGTTTTTCGTTGAATTAGAGTAGTCCTCCTGATTTTATAATTTTTCGCTTGTCTTAATTCATTCTGCCATTTACATAATATGTTTATATTAAAAATACTAGATGTATGTAGATATGGTGAGTTAAATATATATAATAATCGTTAGAAAACCCCTAAAAATCGAATTTAGATATACACAGATATTGTATATGTATAAAAGTAGAAAATTTCTAGTGAGAAAAATTATATGTTCATGAATAATGTTCTTATTATTTATTGATATATGTATATGTTGTAATAAGTACATACATTATTTTAAGTATGTGTTTAATCACAATATTTACAAGGCAATTGAGAAATTCTTCTTTGATTTAGGTCCTGAGGTGTTATGTCAAACTTTTACAAATTCTTTATCAAATCACATGTCACAAACAAAAGGGTATTTATTATCTTCAAAAACGGTGTTTTGAGATATCGCGTTTTGAAGTTTTAAAAAATCATAGAAGCGGAACTACTTGTTCAAATGTTTAAAATGATACCTTGATTTAAACGTACATTATCCTTCTTTGTGTTGAGTAAGTTTAGTTAGTGTATCAATAGTAGTTTTTCTTTTAAAAGTACTTTTATGTGACTGGGTAAAGAGAATACCCTATAAGCAGTTCAAATGGCTCATGTTTAAATTACAACTAGTATCATTTTAAAATAATTTCGCTGAAAATAGCATATTAAATAAAATTTAACATTCAAACTTGTATTAATCCGAACGTGCAATAGGGGGGCGTCCATAAATGACGTGGGATGTTTAAAGGGGGGAGGGAGTCGAGTCAAATCTCATCTAATCTTACGTTGGAGAGAAAAAAAAATATACTATTTTGGTCCATTTATTCCAGATTGTACATGCTTAAGATTTAATCTTAAGCGTAATCGTAATACGATTAAAGATCATTCACTAATTCGTTCGAAAGAAAATAATTTCATTCATACTTGAACGTTGACATGACTGTCAAACCACCATATTTGTAACAATCCAACGCGTTTACGTAAGAAACTCACATTTTGAAAAATCTCACGTGAGATCGGGGGATGGGGGAGGGGGTCGACACCTCACCAGGGGGGGAGGGAGGGACAGAAAATTCAAAAATACACCTCACGTAATTTATGGACGCCCCCTAGGGTATTAACTTAACATAATACTGTTTAGAATACTCACAATCATTAATTTTGTCTAGAAATTGACGACATGTGTTTCGAATTAAAATACAATTATCTTACCAGTTTATAGAGAAAAAAAATGTAGTTTTCGAAACGCAAATAAAAAAATTAATGGTTTCGCCGACTTAATACCCTATTGTTTGTGACGTGCGAAATGTCATTTTGACACTCCCTTGATTTCGAAGGAAGGAGTTAATAGGATTTAAGGTACACAGTAAACGCCTTAATTATTTGTGTACTATACTGATTCAAGTATGCAACTCTGAACTTAAATCTGTTTACTTACTTCGAACAATGTATTGCATGTTTAAATATCTTGTAGCCAACTTCATAGATGCAACCTCATTACAAAATGAATTTTGTAGTATATTATTTTAACCAATCACCAACGAATTGGAAATAATATAGAACACGAACTGTGTTAAAAAGTGGTTCCACGCAAACTGCAAGCAATCAAGTGGGCGGGGCGAAAAAACTGCGATTAACACGCCGATCACGGGATTGGTTGGGATTTTCGTTTAACATTATTTTAGCCAATGAATGTATAGCCGAACCCATATGCAGATATTTGATTTGTTATTTTGGTTTGAATGCGTTAATTTATTTGTTACTTGAGCGTCGAACTACCTTCGAAAGACTTATTGAGCGTTTTGATACTTCATTGCAATTTTTATCGTTCATGTATGAATTTATTAGCTAATTTAGTAAATATAGTACTTTATTTAATTATTTTTTAATTTTTGAGTTTATTTATTTGACCCTAACTATCGTAAACTAAACTTCGAAGGAAACGTCAAGTAATAAATAAATTAACGCATTTAAACCGTTGGAACTTTGTTTTATTTAAAGATTTAAGAGTGGTCTGTGTGAAAGCCTTAGAAATAAATATTTTATTTTGTCTGTCTGAAATTTATTTGTAAGAGTTGGAAAACCTTGTTTTAACGGCCTTTGTTAGAGACTAATGCTTCTATTATCATCAAGCAGTTTTAATAAATAAAGAGACATATGCTTTGCACTAATTCGATTTACACTTTTATTTTCTGCACCATAAGGTCGAAAGTAGTCTGTTTTGTAATCAAGCATCAGAAAATACATCATTGATCTTTAAACGCAACCAAGTTAAGGTCGTTTTTCGTATGCATTCGCAATTTTACACAATTTATGGATATTTTAAACACTGGTTTCGTAGAATAAACTATATTATTATAAAACTATATTAGTGAATTCTGCGGAGTTCTGAAGAATTTGTTTAAAGGGAATCACTAACATAATTCGTGAATATTTGGAAATTTAATGCAAAGTAAAATAGGCCGATCAAAACAATATATTCAATAACTAAGGAAATCAGAATTAATTTCATATTATTGAGCTCTTATATCCACAATATTATGTTTAAATCCATACAATATAAATACATAATTAAACTTAAGAGATGATATTGAACTTCCTTATTTTTGTAGCAATAGGTACTAATACATCTATATCGCTATTGCTTATGCAATATTTAAAATAACATTTGACAGATTTCATCAAAAGACGATGAAGATCTTTCTTTTAATAAACCGGTTGGATTTATCAGTTAAGACAGTATAACTCAGGCCATTAACGATACGAATCAAAAGTGGCAAATTTAAAAATAGCAATATATTGTAAAGCTTTTAGGTTTATATTTCTTCTTTCACCATTGTCGGGGAATTAACATGTGTTATACGAAAATTTGAAACCAAAATATAACAAGGTAGTTTCAATGAATTTTCTAGTAGCATAAATACAATTTAATTATACATAACTTGTCTGTCTCATTTAAAGGATAAGGCTTTTAGGTTATCATTTACAGTACAACGCCGATTATACGAACGCTGATTAACCGAATCAGTCATAAGCGAAATATAAAAAGTTAAAACCAAGTTTATTTTTGTTTTGTTGTAACAAGTTGGAACTCGCTGGAGTACAGATATATATCAACTTTATGGTTGAAGGCTAGAGCCAAGACACTACATGTTTTGAATCCCCGGTTTTATTTGCTACTATGAACCTCTATTATTGTATCTAGTATTGTAGTACTGTGTTTGTTCAACTTAATAAAGTTTATTAAATGTGTAACAGTTCGTTTTTCTAGTCTATGTCCGATTATCCGAATCGACCCCGGTCCCAATTAATTTGGATAATTGGCGTTCTACTGTATTTGCAAGATTCCAGTGTTACATGAGTTGTTGATAAAGCAATAATATATTTGACATAACATTCTGCTTTCATATTGAATGCAAACATGTTCAGTTTTTAACAATGACATGGTATAATCATACATTAAATATAGCCCCCGCAAAAAATGTACATTTCAAGAAATCTGAGTACAACTTATACCTTAATTAAATCAACAGTATTCAATACATTTATTTCTACAAAGCACCAAAAATGCATTGCTTTAATCATATGACCTTTGTGAATGAAGTATAAATTGGCTTACGCTAAGAAAGATTTCATCGGATCAGTCGGTATACATGAATTAATTTCCAACGGAGATACTTGCATAATACATATTGAGTTACATTTTCGTATACTTATAACGGTGTTGCACATAATAATATTCAATAAACTAAAGGAAAACCAAACATTGTTACTCACAACGACAGCACACGAGAAGTCAATCCGTTCAAGATCCATCGACCTTAGGAATGATACCGTTTAACATTTCTTCGTTCATCATCACTTTGATTAGTTTCACATACACTTAAATCTCTTAAAAATTAAGTTAACACTAGAGCGAAAATTTTAATTTATTATTTATTTATTTATATATCACTGGATATTTTTCGTAGACCGATGTTTTCACTATTTTTTTTTCCTTTGAAAATTTTAAGTACACACTCCTATAAGATTGGCACCGTTCTCCACTACACTGGCACTTTGTTTATCCGAACAGGGATTTAAGGTCATGCTCGTAGAGTGCGATGACCAGCATTATGCCGATGCCAGATGCCAAACCCATCAGTTGCAAGATGCACTGGCACAGAGTGCCCTCCTTGCTGTGGGAGGTACTGAGTTCGGGCATCTGTAATAAAAAACCAATAAGAATTAAACATTTGATTTTAATTTAAAGACACACGTTTATAACTTGAGATCTGAGCTGTAAGGACATCCATCAGATATATCCATTTTGACGACCTCTGTGGCCTAATGGAGAGGTCCCGGGTTCAAATCCCGATGGGAACAGATGCTTATGTGAGGAATACGCGCATTTGTTCTCCAGCCATGGATGTTCAATACGATAATTTCTATATCAATATACTTATCATGTATCTTGAGATCTGAGCTGTAAGGATATCCATCAGATATATCCATTTTGACGACCTCTGTGGCCTAATGGAGAGGTCCCGGGTTCAAATCCCGATGGGAACAGATGCTTATGTGAGGAATACGCGCATTTGTTCTCCAGCCATGGATGTTCAATACGATAATTTCTATATCAATATACTTATCATGTATCTTGAGATCTGAGCTGTAAGGATATCCATCAGATATATCCATTTTGACGACCTCTGTGGCCTAATGGAGAGGTCCCGGGTTCGAATCCCGATGGAAACAGATGCTTATGTGAGGAATACGCGCATTTGTTCTCCAGTCATGGATGTTCAATATGATAATTTCTATATACTTATCATGTATCAGTATATGCATTCTATCCGTTACCCTAGTATCCCATAACACAAGCCTACAGTGCTTACTTTGGGGCTAGGATAACGAGGATCCGTAACTACACACATCAAAAGTGTCTAGGGATCAAGCATTTTTATGCGGATTTCTTGAGATTGAGATGTGGCTTTGTAATAAATTTATGATTTTATAAATTTATATGGATCCTTTTTGGTGCATTTCATAATTTGAATCAGGAACTGTGAATCAAATTCGAGTAAAAGATGAAAATCAGCTGTCAATATTTTCCCTATAAAAACATACAACGCATTGAAGACATTATTAGTGCTACTGTTTCCCTACTACTGATTAAAACCAACGTTATTATGGAGCGGCGACGTCATTTAAGCAGGGAAGAAATGCTCAGAGCCGTGGGAATGATAGAAGCTGGTTCCCGGCAACGTACTGTGGCTTTAGCTCTGAATACAAGTCAGAGTGTTATCAGTCGACTTTGGACACGATACCGAAGCACTGGTACCGTGGCTGAGCGCCATGGAGGACGGTATCGCTGCACCACACGGAGACAAGACCGATACATTCAAATCTTAACTCGAAGAGCTCCAACAATAACCGCCATGATGTTAGCCGTGAGGCTTCATCACTCTTCAGGGAACTTAATTAGCGACCAAACAGTCAGAAACCGCTTGCATGAAGTGAACCTTCATTCCCGAAGACCGCTACGGGTACCACCTATAGCAATGCACAATCGTAGGATTCGATATCAATGGGCTCTTGAACACAGAAATTGGGCAGAAGAACAATGGCGTTTCGTGTGCTTTTCTGATGAGTCTCGTTTTGGTATGAGACCGGATACAAGACGTATACGACACTGGAGAACCCCTGGACGCCAACAGCGATTAAAATCCTGCCAGGAAGTCCATCCTTATAGTGGTGGAACCATCATGGTATGGGCGGGTATTTGGATCGGCGGAAGAACTGAGTTGATTTGGATCAGAGGCAACCTCAACGCTCAAATTTATGCTGAGACGATTGTATCAGACGTCATCGTTCCTCTACAAGTGCAAATCGGTCCCTTATTTCAGTTAATGCATGATAATGCACGACCGCACACCGCAAGAGTTGTAAGACAGACTCTCGCCGCAGCTAACATCAATGTCCTGCCCTGGCCTGCTCAGTCGCCAGACTTGAACCCGATTGAGCATGCATGGGATATGCTACAGAGAAGAGCTCTGCCGAATATGGAGGGTATCCAGTCGCAAGAAGACCTTTTTTTGTTGTTGCAACGAACATGGGCGGCCATTCCACAGCGTGATTTGGATGAACTCATTTTGAGTATGCCAAACCGATGTTCTTGTGTTGTTAGTGTTCGCGGTAGAAATACGGATTATTAATTGTTTAAGTTACCCAATAAAATTTTAGAGAAAACTGTTATTTCAGTCTTTTTTTCGAACTTTTGTGTTAGTGGTTCAAATGTCAAAAATCCCTTTATTAGGAAAATGGCAAATTTCTTTATTAATGCAAAGGTGACTTGGTTTATCGTTACTGTGACAAACGAAAACACTTTATTTGATGAATCCTTAAAGAAAATTTTAATTAATATCAATCAGGAGAAAAGTTATTGCAAAAATATATGTTGATCCCTAGACACTTTTGATGTGTGTATTTTAGTTGAGAATGCAGATTTATAGATCCAAGAATACCATAAAATACAGTGGTTAACTGTTTTTATAAAAAGTTACAACTTCATGGAAATATTTTAAGAAAATTAGAGAAGACTCCTTATATGATGTACTTCAACGCCGTTCAAGCTTTATTTGTATTTTTGTAACATCCCATATATTAGTGATGTAACGAATGTCATTTTTTGAACATTCGCGAATGCGAATATTTAGTTTTTGACGTGACAACGTCTTAAATTAGGTTGCGGCTGGGAGTCACTTATGAAAAAGTGTAACGCTCGGTAACGTTACGATGAGTCTCTCGTGTTAAGTTTAAGTTTACATGTACAATGTTTTAGTAAACAAAATATATTTCTATAGTTAAAATTTGTGCAATTCTTATTTTCATTCAATTCCTTGTTCCTATTGTGCAATTTAATTATATTCATATCAATAAATATTCTACCGAGAAAAAGACGTTGTCACGTAAAATCTTCGCCCGTAAAACCGACTTTACAGGCAACCATTTTGACGTGACAACGTCTTAAATTAGGTTGCGGCTGGGAGTCACTTATGAAAAAGTGTAACGCTCGGTAACGTTACGATGAGTCTCTCGTGTTAAGTTTAAGTTTACATGTACAATGTTTTAGTAAACAAAATATATTTCTATAGTTAAAATTTGTGCAATTCTTATTTTCATTCAATTCCTTGTTCCTATTGTGCAATTTAATTATATTCATATCAATAAATATTCTACCGAGAAAAAGACGTTGTCACGTAAAATCTTCGCCCGTAAAACCAACTTTACAGGCAACCATTTTTTTTTTAAATTGGCGCCAATTGTCTATGGCATGGTGGCAGTCTCGTTCGAATTGCCGAGTTGATATGAACTCATCCGACTGAAGTGTCATTCCGCTCGCACCGGTCTTTCCGTAAACAAAACAAGTGAATTTTGAGGTTAGTGATTGTGAGTGGTAATAGTGATTTATTAACATGAGTAAATCGAATTCTAGTGAAACATGGACTTACTTCATACTTTGCGATGCTGAACGAGCTAAATGCAAGCTGTGTAACAATGAATATTCAAGGAAAGGCAGAACTACAACTTCGCAAAACATTCGCAGAGATTTTGCGAATGCGAATGTGAATGCGAATATTCAAAAATATGCGAATATTCGCGAATAATCATATTCGTTACATCACTAATATATATACAGTCGAACACAGAACCGCCTCCTTTTTTGAAATCGGTTTAAAAACAGACATCTCACTCACCATATCAACCAGAGCGATGTACAGGAACATTCCAGCGGCCGCCGCGAACAGCCATCTCGTCGCGTCCGGCGCGTGCCCCGCCAACACTCCGCAAACCATTCCCGCCAGACAGAGGCCGGAGGAGAGGACGTTGTACCAGACCGCACGTTTAACCGACATTCCCGCCTTCAATAATACCGCGAAATCCCCTAAAACGTACACGAGTTCATGTAGATGATATAACGATTGAAAATAGAGAAATTGTTGAAATCTTTAGCGTTAAAGAACGTCATATTATGTTGTTCCTAGCACACTACTCCCGCCAGACAGAGGCCAGAGGAGAGGACGTTGTACCAGACCGCACGTTTAACCGACATTCCCGCCTTCAATAATACCGCGAAATCCCCTAAAACGTACACGAGTTCATGTAGATGATATAACGATTGAAAATAGAGAAATTGTTGAAATCTTTAGCGTTAAAGAACGTCATATTATGTTGTTCCTAGCACTCTATTCCCGCCAGACAGAGGCCAGAGGAGAGGACGTTGTACCTGACCGCACGTTTAACCGACATTCCCGCCTTCAATAATACCGCGAAATCCCCTAAAACGTACACGAGTTCATGTAGATGATATAACGATTGAAAATAGAGAAATTGTTGAAATCTTTAGCGTTAAAGAACGTCATATTATGTTGTTCCTAGCACTCTATTCCCGCCAGACACAGGCCAGAGGAGAGGACGTTGTACCAGACCGCACGTTTAACCGACATTCCGGCCTTCAGTAAGACCGCGAAATCCCCTAAAACGTACACGAGTTCATGTAGATGATATAACGATTGAAAATAGAGAAATTGTTGAAATCTTTAGCGTTAAAGAACGTCATATTATGTTGTTCCTAGCACACTACTCCCGCCAGACAGAGGCCAGAGGAGAGGACGTTGTACCAGACCGCACGTTTAACCGACATTCCCGCCTTCAATAATACCGCGAAATCCCCTAAAACGTACACGAGTTCATGTAGATGATATAACGATTGAAAATAGAGAAATTGTTGAAATCTTTAGCGTTAAAGAACGTCATATTATGTTGTTCCTAGCACTCTATTCCCGCCAGACAGAGGCCAGAGGAGAGGACGTTGTACCTGACCGCACGTTTAACCGACATTCCCGCCTTCAATAATACCGCGAAATCCCCTAAAACGTACACGAGTTCATGTAGATGATATAACGATTGAAAATAGAGAAATTGTTGAAATCTTTAGCGTTAAAGAACGTCATATTATGTTGTTCCTAGCACTCTATTCCCGCCAGACACAGGCCAGAGGAGAGGACGTTGTACCAGACCGCACGTTTAACCGACATTCCGGCCTTCAGTAATACCGCGAAATCCCCTAAAACGTACACGAGTTCATGTAGATAAAATAACGATTGAAAATAGAGAAATTGTTGAAATCTTTAGCGTTAAAAAACGTATTATTATGTTGTTCCTAGCACTCTATTCCCGCCAGACACAGGCCAGAGGAGAGGACGTTGTACCTGACCGCTCGTTTAATCGACATTCCTTCAGTAATATCGCGAAATCCCCTAAAACGTACACGAGTTCATGTAGATGATATAACGATTGAAAATAGAGAAATTGTTGAAATCTTTAGCGTTAAAAAACGTATTATTATGTTGTTCCTAGCACACTACTCCCGCCAGACAGAGGCCAGAGGAGAGGACGTTGTACCAGACCGCTCGTTTAACCGACATTCCCGCCTTCAATAATACCGCGAAATCTCCTAACGATAATAATTAAATGGAGTGATGAAGATAAGAGAAGTATTTGTGTTTCTAGTGACTAGGCATATATATGCTGGAACTATTACAGCCAGACAGAGGCCAGGGGAGAGGACGTTGTAGCAGATCGCTTGTTTTACTGAAATTCCCGCCTTCAGTAATACCGCGAAATCCCCTAAAACGCACACGAGTTTATTTAGATGATATAAAGATTGAAAATTGAGCGATAAAGTACAGAAATTGTTTAAATCTTTAGCGTTACAGAACGTAATATTATGTTGTTCCTAGCACACTACTCCCGCCAGACGGAGGCCGGAGGAGAGGACGTTTTACCAGACAGCTCATTTAACAACATTTCAATTTCAAACAACTTCAGTAATAACGCGAAATCCCCTAAAACCTACACAAGTTTATGTAGATGATATTATCATCATTGCATTGCATTGATATTTACAAAATTGGATAAGAACTCCATTTTTTTAATATTTCGAGCTCTTTCTTGCCTCGGGAAGCAAGTCAAGCCGTTGGTCCCGGCTGCATCTGCAGTCGTTAGCACGCAACAATCCACACTAGGTCCGCGTGGTGGGTCATGCACATGGCCCATTATCCCTATGCCATCCATAGGGAAAGCCTGTGCCCCAGCAGTGGGGACATAAACATGCCAATGATGATGATAGCGACACTTAAAGCTAAATATTACATTTCTAAGTAGCTGGTTTTACAAAGAACTTAAAGTGAATGTTAAATATTAATCTTACCTAATTCATGTGGCAGTTCGTGGCACAACACAGCGATGGCAGTTGAAAAACCTCCAGCTAAGTTGGAGGCGAATGCAGCACCTGGAAAAGGCAATAAATTATATATCAATCAATCAATAGTATTCAATCATTGTTCATCGAGGGGAGAAAGTGACCGATTACCAACTAGGATGTAGTTTTGCCTTAATACACCCGAGTTGGGTATAGCACTTTCTTTCGAGGGATACAAAGTGCTTTATACCATACCCGCGAGGAAAGTACTTAAGTAATATTGATTAAGTACTTTAGTATAATTAGTTATATAGATTATGCTACTGTGCAGTAATCGGAATAGACAATGTAGAATAAATAAAGAACTAAAAGGAAATCGATTTTTTTTATAGATAGGTCCGACAAATAACTCCACCCCACCTGATGTTAAGTGAAGGTTAAGTCCAGACGTGAAGATAGCTGGTACAGCAGTTTTACCTGCCACACCAGCCATCCTCACCTTGCCGGCCTGCATGTTGCTTCTTCACGCCTCTTTTAAAGGATCCCAGGTTGTAAGAGGGAGGGAACACGTGAGCGGGCAGAGCATTCCATTTACGGATAGTGCGACAAAGAAATGAGTCACCAAATTTCGTTGGAATAGGGATGATGACTAATTTTTTTTTCTTCGTTTATCAGGTAGATTATCAAAAGTATTGGACACGTATTTTTTCTTTTTTCACATAATATAAACATTGCAGACATATATTGATTTGAAAAGTCGCATAACGTCACGTTTGAGTACACTTATAAGAGAAAATTCACTCAAAAGTGACGTCACGAGCCCCTACTCCCAAACTTTGACGCGCTATAACTTTGTCATTTTTTGGTTGATTGCCAAAAGAAAAAATACGTGTCCATTATTTTTTGATCATCTAACTGACGGACTAAATAGAATTTCGTTTACTGTACCCCGTCATCACCCCCATTGTGGCCACAGTTAGACGGTGACAACGTAGGCCAGCGCGCGTACTTTGGTCTGGGGTGCCGCCTTGTGGCCAAAACTAGATCATAGTTGCTGAATGATAGAATTTGTTAATTTTAGTTGCTTCCTATTGCGCATGCCGTGGCAGCCTATAATTAAAGCGACACTAATCCTATCTTTAAACTGCTTCTGTAGCTACTAACACTGACGCTGTGTTATGCTTTGTTGGTTGTCCTAAAAAAATAAAAAAAAAAAAAAATTTTTAGTTGATATTTATAATTAAAGTCGTTACTGTTGCTAAACTTTTGCCTGGGAGCTTTATATTGGTTTCTTGGTTTCACTGGAAAAGGTTTTCAATGACTTCTTAGGTAGTTTCTTTTAATTCTGGCGGTGTCAATAAATCTTCATTATCATTAATATAAGCCGTCTCGAGTAGATAAGAAAACAAACTAAAAACGCAGTTAAAATAAAATAATCAGAGCGCTTTTTTTAATTCTTGTTCTTTTTTTAATGTAATCTATATATATAAAACTCAAAGGTGACTGACTGACATAGTGATCTATCAACGCACAGCCCAAACCACTGGACGGATCGGGCTGAAATTTGGCATGCCGGTAGATGTTATGACTTAGGCATCCGCTAAGAAAGGATTTTGATCAATTCTACCCTCAAGGGGATAAAATACCGAAGCGAAGCGAGGGCGGGCCACTAGTTATTTATAAATTGGAGAAAAATCTTACCTATTGCCATTCCATCGGTGAAGTTGTGCAGCCCATCGCCCATGATGACCATCCAAGCCACTGAAGACATGGACGAAGGAGGAGCATGGACATGCCCGTGGGCGTGGGAATGTCCATGATGCGCACGCGAATGCTCCCTGAAAGATTAGCACAAATCAATATTAAAGTGAAACTTGTTTGACAATAAAGTTTTAAAAATCTTCCAATGAAATATCGGAACGCTCAATAAAAGTCTTTCGAAGGTAGATCGACAAAGTAAATAAATCAAAATTCTGACGACCAACGTCAACAAATAAATCAATCAATCAATAATCATCTATACCGTTTGAATCTTGTTTTATTTAATGAGTGGTGTACGTGAAAACCTAAGAAATAAATATGAAACCTGTTTTGTTCATCTTTAGGCATTAAAATGGCATTACATTTTTAATTGTTATTGCAAAATTCTGACCAATTAGCATCGGTGGCTCGGTGGTAGAAAGCTCGCCTGCTACGCGGGTGGTCTTTCACATTTTTTGCAAAAAATCGGAATTTTTGATAAAAGATTTTGACTATTTCCAATAGAACTTAACAGTAGAATTATTCTTCCTATTGTAAGTTAATGTAGAATATTTGCAAATACTATTTTCCTTTTTTTGTACTGATCGTTCAACTGCAGGTAGTTTACAGAAAAAACGATAATATGCACAACTTCAAACGCCTCAATCTCTCAATAATGTTCAATAAATTAGATCAAATTAATTAGAAAAAAGACAAAAGACATCAGAAATATGTTTTTGTTGTAACATAATGTATTAGAATATTGATTTTCCATCTCATTAATAATAAAAAAAAACATCTAAACTCCGTGAGTTTTCCCAAAAAATAATGCAGGTTTACCACGTATTTTGATATTGAATAAAATAGAATTACTATCAAAAACTTTCATAAAACTAATCTACCATCATTGAACTACTGAAATATGTATTTATTTTTATGATTAGTTCATTAATAATTAATTTGTAAGACTCGAAACATCACCCGTAAAATGCAATATTATACTAGTGCAAATCTACCTACGCGCCGATCAGTACGGACATAACTTTGGAGAATCTCTTATCTATTAGACGAGTCCGTCTGTCGGTGGTGCTGTTTCAGCGGCCAAACCGTAAGAGATGGATAAAGAGAATATTTAAGTTATAAGTTAAGAATAGTCTGATAAGACTACAAACCGGATTTGAGTTACGTAGCACTTCCGGTTTTCGAGAAATTAGGTTTTAGTGAACATTTGGTTCACTGGTTTGCTAGTATTACTATAATGAATGCTATTTTATCACTGATGAAAATGATTGAAAAATAACTAATTCTCACCTGAGAATAACCGTGTAACTGTCACCATCCTTCAAATCTTTGCTGCCATCCTCCTTTTGTTTGATGTTGTTCATTTCAACAACGGCCGGCGTCGTCTCCGGTTTCAGCAGCCAATCTTTGGCTGTAGGCTCATTGGCATCCTTAGCGTCTGTGTTAAGTGCGTTCGATGACACCACACTCACAGAATTGTTATGTTTCGCCTTCGGACTCGGCGGGATCTGACCGTCTCTCAAATGGTGATCGTCATGCGTATCAGTATCGATTTCATCGTAGCAATAAGGATACTCCGAATACTTGTGCTTGCAAGTCTTCGTTGTAGGGTCACCTTTCTCGTCCCTCTTAAAGATCTTCATGAAAGAATTCGATGTGGAGTTGGTGATCGGCGCTTTGGAGCCACCGGAGCAACCGCCAGCAGTTTCGTCTTTCAAAACGCGCACCCTGGAAGGCAATTTATCGTCTTCCAACTTTTGGCGCCTCTTCCTCCATTCGACGATGACGGTCAAACCCTTTTCAGTGAAATAGAAGAAGACTACGCCCAGCATAGCCGCCAATCCCTTCCACATAGCATCATCGTGTGACTCTCTTACTTCTAAAGCTGTACCGCCGTGATTGTGGCTGTCTTCCGAAGGACTCATTGCGTGTGGCATTAAATGCAGCAAAGCATCACCACATAACGTGCCAACGGCTAGCGCTACCAAAAACTGTAGGAGATGATTGTAATAAGTCTTGTGCATGATTGGTATGACCGCTACTCCTAAAAGACCACACGCGCTTATGACTGCTATACTCAAACCTGAGTATAACCAAACTGCGAGCATGTTTTTGGTGTACGCGTTCTCTTTCTCGCTTGCTGTCGGCGGTATCCGTCTGCTGGGTAAATTCGATTCTTTCACGCAGCCGTGCTGTTCTATGGAAGTGTTTGCTAGTTTTTGGTAGAGTAGTATAGGGCATAGGGTTTGTAACGTCTCCTCTGATAGCTGGAGTTCTTCTTCGTGTTCCTTCACGTCATGGCCGTGGCCGTGGCTGTGGCTGTGGCCATGGTCGTTCGGTTTTAGCCTACTGTTTACTGTTGTAATTAGTTCCGCGCTGCTGACGCACTGTTGGCAAAAACAAAAGAATAAAACATTTCATACCTCATCAATCACCATAATAGAGCCTCGGTGAATGCGTTTAGTCTGTTGATTGTGAAGGTTAACTGTGACATCTGAAGGGTAACCAAGAATATGTTTATCTGCTACGTGCAAAATGTTCAGTCGTTTTAGGTGCCAACGGCGGTAGATGCAATCTCTTTGAGTTGCCTATATAATTATAACTAGGGGTTCTAAATGGGCTTGCTTCGTGGCTAAAGGTATAGCGGACCTGACCCACCCGGCACCTGAACAGCATCGCCACGGCGCGCGTGTTTGATATTCTTTGCATGGATTTCTATGGGGATGCGCTCACTTCACCAATTCCGGAGTGGCACCGCCTGGTCTCGCTTTTTTTGAGTGTGTATGCTGTTGCTCGCAGATGACCTTTACAGCATCACAGGTTTTGGGGACGACTAGAACCTTAGGGGACCTCAAGCCGTGAATTGGTGAGTGCCTCTAGAGGAATTCCAGGCGGATGGCATCTCCCCACGGGGGGAGTCTCCTTTCTGTCTCAACCCTCTAGACCACTCGAACCTGAGGGGTCCTGGCCTCGCTCGCATGCGAGAAACATTGCTCGCTCTTGTTTAGGTAAGGTGGTTTACCGGCGCGGCCTCCACGAGTGGAAGGCACGCGCCGAGGCGGTGCTGGTCGGGTGCCGGGTGAGCTATGACCTTGATGGTCCATTCCCCAAGTGGTATTTTGTGCCCAAACAAAATATTCAAATTAAATTATTAAACAAACTTTAATTAGCAGTATAACATATGAGCATCAATAAAGAAAAGAATAATACATTATATGACGTCTTATTCGAGGAGTTCGATGGCGGAGTTGGTTAGTGCGTTTGGCCTGCGATCGTAGAAGTTAAGCCACTTTCACAATGATCGGTCGCTGGACTAGTAGTACCCAATAACTTATTATCCCGAGCTCCTCCGTGCTTGGAAAGGCAGGTTAAGTAAGCGGTTGGTCCCGGCTGCATCTGGAGCCGTTAGCCACTCACTAAGTCGTTAGACTAGTACCCAAAAACTTATTATCTCGAGCTCCTCCGTGCTTGGAAAGGCAGGTTAAGTAAGCGGTTGGTCCCGGCTGCATCTGGAGTCGTTAGCCACTCACTAAGTCGTTAGACTAGTACCCAAAAACTTATTATCTCGAGCTCCTCCGTGCTTGGAAAGGCATCTGGAGTCGTTAGCCAATCACTAATCAACATTAAGCCAATCGGCCCAATCTTCCTATTCCATCGGTAGGGAAGGCCTATGCCCCAGCAATAGGGATATTAACAGAATAATGATGATGATAAAATAAATAAATAAATAACACCAATCAGCCTAACCTCAAAGTAAGCACAAGGCTTGTGTTGTGGGATACTAGGGTAACGGTTAGAATACTAATACAGATCCATGACTGGAGTACAAAAGCTCGTATTCAGCACACAAACATCTGCCCCCCACCGGGATTCGAACCCTCTCGAGTAGGCAACACCTTGAAACCAGGCATGCATACGTGATGATGGTTTTTTAAAATAAAAATAAAACACTCACATTAACAGTATCCTGCTTAGCACCAGTCTGACCGATGTAATCTATAATTTCAGTCTTCTCAACACCACCCTCTACGAGCTTATGCAAATCTAACTTCTCCAACATCCTATTAAAGCCAGATATATTCATGGTCATACTCCCGGCGTCGCCGTACAACCTGAAGATCTGTTCCACATACGAACTAGGGTTCACATCTTTCAATTCCCTCTTTGACCTATCTCTGTGCCTTATCTTCTGCAGTCTCTGATTGTATCTCGCTTTTGACTCAGCTCTTCTTTTGTCTTCTATTATTGCTATTTGGCCAGCGTCCACATTCGGGTCGAACTTTAGCAAGCCATCTTTCTGTATGTCTATGTGTGAGCCGCAGGTGTGCGCCGCACATAGCAGGCAGAACATGCACACTGTCACAAAATGATGAGACATTTTGCTTACACTATCAATCGAGTGTGCAGACTTAAATTTACGGGGGGATTACTCAGCGAACTGTCACTGTCCAGACATTTCTGATTAATCTGTGGACAAAGAGAAGGAGATTGGTTAAAATTGTTTGAGAAACATTCTGTTTGTTGGATAAACCAAATCGGCGATGTGGGAAAATCTACAAGGACTAGACGTAAACTAACAAATAAGCATAATTTAATAAAATAGTTGGGCCACAATCCTCAGGTCCGAATGGTCTAGAGGGTTCAGACGGAGAGGAGACTCCCTCCGTGGAGAGATGCCATCCGCCTGGAATACCCCTAAAGGCACTCACCAATTCTCAGCTTGAGGTCCCTTTAGGAGCTCGCCCTCCCTAAACCCGGTAGACTACCACCAGAATACACACTCAAAAAAATGGTCAACAGTTTTAAATGCATTAAAACAAAGTAGGATAATTTAGAAAAAAAAAATATAAAAACCTCAATTGAAAGTTAAAATAAAAGAGATTAATTCGCCAAACTGAATAAAAAAAACGCTTCACGAAAAGGAAACCACTTTCTTGTTAAAAAAAAATGTTCAGATAGCCGCAAGACGGAAAAAAGCCAAACACCAAACCTCGAAATCGGCTGGTTTACTCCGCTTGGTGTTAGCAATACCACGCCTCTTGGGCGAGGAAAAAAAATATTTAGATGCCGCCATCACACTTTTTTTTTCAATTTTCACGTCTCAGCCTTGATCTAGATAATTAATCAGACTCTTTAGATCGGATCATTCGGCGGTGAATTGAAACAAACTGCACTCTTCCGCTTGCGCCTGCGCGTAAGCATAGATTTTAATTTTAAACCTTTAGGTATACAACGATATTCAATATAGTTGTTTAAGTATCTACAATCAACAATAGGTAATTTGACAGTATGAAAAAAAAGTACCAATTTTGGCACTTGTGTTTAACATGAATATTGGGAACGATTTCACTATTCTGATGAAAAAATGTAGTTGATACATATAACTAAACTAGCGGCCCGCCCTCGCTTCGCTTCGGTGTAGAGCTGTAGTGTAGACTATAGTTTTTGTTCTGAAGCTTGTATTATACACAATGACATTCATCTATGATTCTTCTTATACCTGCATGCAAAGTCTCAGCCCGATCGGTTTAAAATTGACAAAGTTTCATACAAACTTTCATTCCCTATTTTATCCCTTTGGGGATAGAATTGATCAAAATCCTTTCTTAGCGGATGCCTACGTCATAACATCTACCTGCATGCCAAATTTCAGTCCGATCCGTCCAGTAGTTTGGGTTGTGCGTTGATAGATCACTATGTCAGTCACCTATGAGTTTTATGTATATAGATATTATGAAATAGCAAAATCATTGATCTATTGTCACGTTACGGAAACCGCCTATGATTAGCGGAACCTAAAATGACGTCACCTGCTTATAAACATGCTGTCGAAGTAACATCACTTTGTACTGTTTGACGTTTTAATGAGAAAAGGGTCTAATCTCTGGGATCGTAGTAGAACAATCCCGTCATGGCTGGTTGACGGTGGCGTGGCTAATGAATTCTCCACGGATAGCGCTTGTTGTGCTCAGCTGTTTTAACTCTAGTTCAGCTGATGACACAGGTCTGTGGCAGTATTACGTATATATTTTTTAACATATAAATATTTATGGGCTTGGCTGGAAGGATGATGGATGCGGGACGCGGCAGTATCCCTAAACGGGGATCCCGCGATTTCGCACTTAGCAGCTTAGAGGGTATTCGCTGGGTTTTTTAGCGGATATTATGCTGTAATGTGCCCGTAAGAGTTACGGGGTCCTCAATGGGCAGCCACTGCGGGGGCCCGTAAGGCTTACAGGAGCCAGGTGTGAGGTCCTTTCGGCGGTGTGCCTCTAAAAGGCGCCGTCGTCTGTAAATAGAGGTTTTGGCAAGCGAGGTGGCAAACCACCCGATGGTGTGGTGGTGGGAAGGAAGGAAGTGGTCACGTCCTCCTATGAACTGTTTCAACCTTCGCCGTGTTACCTTCCAACTTTCATGCTCGTCACAGGACTTCAGCAGTGATAGAAGCTGTGAAGGCGCGAATTCAAAGAAATCCCAAACGTAAGCAGAAACTGTTGGCCCTTCAGATGGGGTTAAGCAGAACCACGGTGAAAATGCTGTTAAATGAAGACTCAGGGCTTCGGACATATCGAAGAAAAACAGGACATCGTTTCAATGCTCGTCTAATGGACCTGAGACTGAAGAGATGCCGCGCTTTGTTGAAGCGATACGCGGGAAAAATATATCGGCAAAATTCTTTTTTCGGATGAAAAAAATTTTTCCGTAGAAGAGAGCTACAACAAACAAAATGATAAGGTGTACGCACACAGTAGTGAAGAAGCGAGCAACCGTATTCCGCGTGTCCAACGAGGTCATTTTCCATCCTCGCTCATGGTATGGTTGGGAGTTTCTTATTGGGGCTTAACAGAGGTACATTTTTGTGAGAAAGGTGTAAAAACGAATGCAGTTGTGTATCAAAATACAGTCCTGACGAACCTTGTGGAATCTGTTTCTTATACCATGTTCAATAATAGGCACTGGGTATTCCAACAAGATTCGGCGCCAGCTCATAGAGCGAAGAGCACACAATACTGGTTGGAAACTGGAAATCGACTTCATCCGGCACAAAGATTGGCCCTCCTCCAGTCCAGATTTGAGTCCGTTAGATTACAAGATATGGCAACACTTGGAGGAAAAGGCGTGCTCAGAGCCTCATCAAAATTTGGAGTCACTCAAGACATCCTTGATTAAGGCAGCCGCCGATATTGACATGGACCTCGTTCGTGCTGCGATAGAGGACTGGCCGCGCAGATTGAAGGCCTGTATTCAAAATCACGGTGGTCATTTTGAATAAACTTTATATATTTTTTCATATATTTTTAATCATTTAACTGCTAGATGGTTAAATCTAAAGAAAAGTTTACTAAAAAATAAATTCACGCGGACCAGGCAGCGGACGGGACTCGATACCGCACCCTTCGCTATCCGGGCGAATGCACTGACCATTATGCTACCACGGCCCTTTTCGCCGCGTCGAAATTTTCCTAGCCTTAAGCTGCAAGGCAGCGCCATCTCTTCGCATTGTAGGTAATCCACAATGTCAAATGAATACTTTTTCAAGTATTAAATATTTGAAAGAAGAAATAGCAATTATAGTTATGTTTTTATTTATTTTTAAGCATTTAACTGCTAGATGGTTAAATCTAAAGAAAAGTTTACTAGAAAAAAATCCACGCGGACCAGGCAGCGGACGGGACTCGAACCCGCACCCTTCGCTATCCGGTCGAATGCACTGACCATTATGCTACCAAATAAAATAATAATAGGAAAATTTCGACGCGGCGAAAAGGGTAGTAAACTTTTCTTTAAACTTGTTTCAATTATTTTATATTAAACATGTGACAGAATTTATGACCTAGGTATATATAGTCGTATGACGCATTTTCCGTTTCATCTTTTCCATATAATTTTTCCATTTACACCCCGTACGAAAACTTTCACTTCACAAACGTATACATGTCGCAAAGTCACGTATCCACCGCGTGTGAGTTTGTTTACCAAAATATGAGGGGTCTATATTTAGTGTTGCTGTGTTACTGCATTAGCCGCAGTGGCACCGATATCTCCACAGACTTGGTGAAGACAGCTCACCTTGGGTTCTATACGTATGTACAGCAAAGGAAGTTAGCCGGTACGGTAATTTTAGGAACAACGGATTTTTGGGTCTATTTAAGAACCGTTCGTTAAATGTCGCACGTTTTAAGGTGTGAAGGTGTTATGTGAAAGGATCTCAGAACAACAACTAAAGCATGGAAGTAATACTATCACGTTAACAATCATTATCATTAGCCTATTATTAAAAAAAAAAACAACAGACCAATTAGCACCCAAAATAAGCACTGTAAGGCTTGTGTAGTGGGATACTAGGGTAACGGATAGAATATATATACTGTACATATATAAGTATATTTATATAGAAATACATATTAGTAGTACAGTGAATCTGTAGGTTGAGTGGTGAAAAAAAAACCTAAAGGGTTTTTTTTTTCATAGGACCATAGGATCGAAAAAATTACCGTTAGCAGCACTGTGTTGTATACGTAGCGCTGTATTGCACTGTAACTTGAAAACGGTAAGTAATACAAAAAAAATATTTATACAAAAGTTGTTGGTAATTATGTACGGAACAACTTTTCCATTTAAAGTTTTCCATTAAAATGATATTTTCAAGGTGAAAAAGTGAAAAACACTTTTTTTTCGGACTTTAGCGCCACCTACAATGCGCATTTTTTGTTGTACGAGATTGCAACAATGACATAAATTGTAGTCCTCAACGCCCTCTACAATTATGGTCGAAAAAAAAGTTTCTAAAATGCATACAAAACAAGAAAAATGCGTTTCAAAAATTTTTTGAGGGTTTTTTTGAGTTTTTCAAAAAACGCCTACGAGTTGAACATGCCATCGCCAAGATGGCTTACTGACGTCATTTGGCAACAGAAAAAACAAGACTTACCCTTTAGGTTTTTTTTTCACTGAAACGATTTTTTTTTCGACAGATTGACTGTACTAATATTAAAACATCCATGACTGGAGTACAAATGCTCATATTCATCACACAAACATCTGCCCCCACCGGGATTCGAACCCGGGACCTTCTTAAGTCGGCGACACCATGAAACCGGCGTATAAATCACTCGGCTACCGAGGTCTTTATTATTATCCCCACTGCTGGGACATACGCCTTCCCTATGGATGGAATAGGGAGATTGGGCCATGACCCACCACGCGGGCTCAGGATTGGCGGATGCTAACGACAGCAGACGCAGCCGAGACCAACGGCGTAACGTGCTCCGAAGCACGGAGGAACTTGAGATAGAAGATTTTTTACCCATAAACAATAAATCAAGGAAAAGATTTCCAAACAAAGTATTACCCAACCAAAAAGTATTAGTGGTGTATTGTAGGTTGCATTTGACATTAGATCGCTTTTTGATTTGATTTTTGCTAAGGTAACCGAGGTATCCACAAGACATACAGAGATATCTAAT